CATACTTTCAATTTTCCCCTCCATTATGTCCACTTTTTCAGCTACCTCTTCCACATGGGAGTTCACCTTTTCAAGAACAGAAGCAACTCCTTCTAAAGCCAAAACAAAATCTTGTCTCAAGATCTTATTATTTTCCTCTAAAATCTTTTTCATTTCTGCCCTAATTTGAATTATAACATCTCCCATCATGTTTTGCAAATCCTTCATAGTTATTAGCTGACCCCCAGAAGAGGGTGAAACTGTTGATTTAGAAGCTGTAGAAATCCCTGGACGCTTTGGAGCCATCTTAAAGAAAAACCTTTAGCCCTTCTTAAAAAATTATAAAAATTCCTTCAAAAATCATAACTCCCTCCAAAGAAGGTCATTATAATAAAAAGAAAAAAGGGGAAAAAAAAAAAAGGAAGAGAAAAAGAATTAAAAAAAGCTTTACTCCTTCTTAAAAATTGCAAAAAATTAAACAGAAAAAAGTCCTTCAAAAAAGAGTCATTACAATATAAAGAAGGGAGAAGAAAAAAAAATAATAATAATAATAATAATTAAATAGAAAAAGTCCATTCCAAAAAAAAAATACTTAGAGATACCAAAAACAACCATTCCAATCATAAAAAAATAAAAAGGGAAAGGGAAAGGAAAGAAAAAGAAACACCAAAAAGCCTGCCGGTCAGCATTCTAACTTCAAAAAAAAAAAAACACCGAGAGATTTGCCGATCGCCATTTTACTTTCCCTTTCAACAAAGAAAAAAAAAAAAAATAAAATAAAAAGAGAGAATAAAAATAGAAGCAAGTCTTAAAACTTAAAATCCAAATAAATCAAAGAAAGCAAAAACTAAATCCTCTACTCAGCTCTGTCCGTTTATAAAAAAAAAAACTCACCAGTTCTCTTTAAGCACGGAGGTGTTTGCAGCGGCTCGTTTTGTCCCTGAGGACAAAAACAGCTGGGAAGCGGAGACAAGTCCGAACTCCGTGGGAGCACTCCTTTCACCCCCCCCCAAAAAAACTTGGGGGGTGCAAAAGAGGCTCTACCACTATTCGGACACTCTCTACCCCCCCCCCCTTTGCCCGGGAGGGGGATTTTGAACCGCTGAACAGCTGGTGTCTGCTGTTCATAGCGGTTCTTACACTTACCCAGGAAAGACGGCTACAAAGTAGCCGCCATCGCGCGCGCAAAATCCACCGGAAGTGGCAACCTTGGCTCTTTTATGACTCGTGGACTTCAACTCCCAGAATTCCTGAGCCATCATGGCTCAGCTTGGAAACCTCTCCCTTTCCCCTCAGCGTGGCTGGCTGAGGAATTCTGGGAGTTGAAGTCCACGAGTCATAAAAGAGCCAAGGTTGCCTACCCCTGGCCTAGTCAGTGTCTACCTAGCATTTTACAATATCATTTTCTTTTCTTGTTTTGAGCACCAAAGTCTAAAAGCGGTTTCCAACTAGAAACAAAGCTAGATATATTCTTTTCTCTGTTTAAAACAGTTAAATGTTCCCATCTGTGCTAGCTCCCGTCATTTCTTCAAAACTGTATTTCATTCCCACTATTTTATTTGATGGAAGAGGTGATTCCCAGAACTCCATTTGCAGTTCCTGAGATGGCTCGGTCAAAAATTTAATAAGGGGCTGATTTTTTTTTATAATATTTTATTGGTTTTCCAGTTTTACATTTTAAGTATTTGGAAGGTAGCGTGGTGATTGGGTTAATCATTAGTTCCATAACAAAATCTTTAGTACATATCTCAGGTTACATCATCAAATATTTATTTTCTGTTTCCCTTAACATTTGCTATATCATATTTAAGCTAGTAAATTTCTAATTGTATCCAGCTGTGAAAACTTTATTATCATATTTATCAATACATTTTTTGCTTATACATATCTTTTTTTTAAAAAAAAAGTTTTTTTATTTATAAAACAGTTAAAACAAAGATGGACATAACGTAACATTCCAGTGTGTATATTCCTAACAATTTGTTCCTCATCATACATATAATTCTTAATCTCTATACTGTATATATACCAGTGGTTCTCAACCTGTGGGTCGGGACCCCATTTGGGGTCGAACGACCATTTCACGGGGGTCGCCAAACAACGCAGTCCGCCATTTTTTCCCCCTTTTCCTTAGCTGTGCTACTCCCTTTTATTTATTGGCTTTTGAAAGCCAATAGAATAGACTCTCTTGAATAGAGTCTAATTCTATTGGCTTTCAAAAGCCAATAGGAATTGTCCAAGCTGTCTCTGCCCTGCTGAGCCCGCCAAAAGTCCCATTCTGCAAACGGTGCTGCACCAGTTGAGTAGTCCTCGACTTACGACCGGTTGGGGGGTCGCGGCATTAAAAAGATTGAGAACCACTGGTATATACATATTTTTCTATACAATACAGTCTCTAATTTGTTTCTCTATATACTAACATACAGTTTTATATATCTCTATCTTAACACTAACTTAAAACCCGGACAGTTCTCCTTGATTCACACCAACAATAGAATTTGTCCCAGATTTCAAAGTAATCTGACTCTGTCTTGTCCTTCATTTCCATTGTGAGCCTATCCATATCAGCACACGACAGGATTTTATATAAAATCTCTTCTTCTGTTGGAATTTCTTTATTCCTCCAGTTTTGTGTACACACCAATCTAGCAGCCGTGAGAATATATAGCATCAAGTAAAGTATCCCTTTGTCGTATTTCTGCGTAGTTACGCCTAGTAGGAAGTTCTGGTTTTAGCTCTACCTCTATCATTAGTATTTCTTCCAGCCATTTTGTAACCTTGTTCCAAAAGTCACGGGCTTTTGAGCACTCCCACCACATGTGGTAATATGTCCCTCTTGCCAATTTACATTTCCAAGACGTGGAAGAAAGATTTGGACCCATTTTAGCTAATCTTGTGGGTGGGAGATGCCATCTCTAGAACATTTTGTAGAGGTTTTTTTTTTGTAGGAGGTGGCCAGAGTAAGCTTCCTCTTTCGTACCCATAGTTCTTGCCAGATATGCAGATCAAAGTTGAGATCAAAATCCCTGCTCCACGTTAACATGGTTTCTTTTACCCGTTCTTCATACATTGCCTGGTCTAACAAATAATGATACAGCTTTTTAATCATTTTATCCTCAGTACTCTGCTTTCTGGCCCCTAAGCCCTAATGAAGGTGTTGATTTGCTCCCTCAGCTACTGTGTCCAGGTTTGCCCAACAGAGCTTGCTTGTGACCTCATCGATGGCTGCTAAGGAGCTTTCTTCCCTTTCCTCCTTCCTGCAGCCACCCACCCTGGGCGTTTAGGGCCAGGAGGAAGAAAGTGCTTCCTCCTGGCCTCAGCCCTGTGGTAGGGCGGGAGGGAGGGCGAGCGAGCCCGGGAGAAGTGCCAAGCTTTGAAAGACATGGCAGCTGGCTTTCGGGAGCTTAGCCCCCTGTCATGGGTAGCGTGAGGCCCTTGCTGAGGACAAGTTGTCGTTGGTTGACTGCTGGTCTCGACGCGGACCGCGGGCAGCTGGCCGTTCCCTTTTCGGATCTCCGCCTTTAAGATTGTCGCTACTTGTAAGATACCTGGCGGGCCAGAACCTCTTTGAAGTTGTTGAGTAGCCTGTAAGGTGGGATTAGAGAAGTCCATTAGACGTCAAGAAAGGAGCCGTGGTGGCGCAGTGGTTAGAATGCGGTACTGCAGGCTACTTCTGTTGACTGCCAGCTGCCTGCAGTTTGGCAGTTCGATCCTGACCGGCTCAAGGCCGACTCAGCCTTCCGTCCTTCCGAGGTCGGTAAAATGAGGACCCGGATTGTTGGGGGAGGCAAATATGCTGACTCTGTAAAAGCACTATGAAGCGGCATATGAATCTCAGTGGCTATCTGCAAGCAGTGACACCCACAGAGTTTAACAACATCCCTGAGGAGTGGCAGCTTGAAATAACAGTTGCTAAGGATCCGCAGGCACCCTGCTAATATTTCTGTGTGTCATTTTTGTAGGGCTGTTCTTGGAATTAACTAGGCTGAGCCAAAGAATTGGGGGTTTGATCCATTAAGGCAGAGTTCCCCAATCTGTCCAGCTTTGTGGACTGGCTGGACGTGGGGGGAGAGGGGATGGTTCCAGGTGAGCAGCAGGCGAGGGTATGAGCGTGCATTGCTCCATTTGCACACATTTGCCTGCTGCTAGCACAAGTGGGGATGTGCAGACATGCTTGTCTGCCACTTCCATGGCCCGGTTTCAAATGGCTCAAGGCCCACTAACGGGCCGGGGACCCCTGCATTAAAGGCTATTGTTGATGTCTGTATCCTAATGGTTGGGCTAGCCCAGGGGTCTGCAACTTTGACAACTTTAAGTCTTCTGGACTTAAAATGCTTGTATGCATCTCTTCTGTCAACGCTGCTAACATTGGATGTTTTTCCATTGCCAACAGAAGGAAATGTAGCCATCTTTTACCTTTTGCTTTTAGAGTTAGATGATGCTAGGAGGAGGGATGTGAACGAGAGTGTCCAGCTAGACCAGTGGTTCTCAACCTTTCTAATGCCGCGACCCCATAATATAGTTCCCCATGTTGTGGTGATCCCCAACCACTTATGCATCACCGGGTGCCAGGGGCGTGGCCAAAGAAAAGGGGAAAAAAATGGCGGACAGCCTTGTTTGGCGACCCCCGTGAAATGGTCGTTTGACCCCAAATGGGGTCCCGACCCACAGGTTGAGAACCACTGAGCTAGACATAACAACACTAAACCTAGCATGAGAAACAAGGTTATTGTAACCAGAGCTGATAAGGAATCCTGGGTTGGAGAACTGGAGAGGAAGTCTGGGCTTCAAGCTAATTGGGGAATGCGATTTATGATTGTTAATTGGAGGAGGGAATTGTGCTTAGATACTATGTACTCAGGGGAGGGGAACTTCGATCATGCAGTGCCAATATTATGCTACTCAAAATAAAAACTCTTGAAGAGTTTCATCTGTTGGAACCATGACATCTTCAAGCTTTGTCTGCCCTGCGTATAAAGCATGTCTTCTCTGTTTCCCCCCCCTCCCTTCTGGTCCGGCAGATCCGAATACGTGATCCAAATCAGGGTGGCAAAGATATCACAGAGGAAATAATGTCTGGAGCTAGGACTTCTTCTACCCCAACTCCTCCACAGGTAAGGCTGTTGGTTTCCTCCATCCTATTCCTCTTCCAAATATGTCCCGCTTTGGCGGATAGCTTTTTTCTGGTGCTTACAATACAGAAGCTCCGGGATTAAGTCACAGCCAATGTTCGTTATTGGTGAGCCCTAGGAATCCATCCTTGATGCAGGAAGAATAACAAAATAACAGAGTTGGAAGGGGTCTTGGAGGTCTTCTAGTCTAACCCTTGAACAAGCAGGAAACCCTATATCAGAAGTAGGCAACCTTGGCTCTTTGATGACTTGTGGACTTCAACTCCCAGAATTCCTCAGCCAGGCACGCTGAGGGGAAAGGGAGGGGTTTCCAAGCTGAGCCATGCTGGCTCAGGAATTCTGGGAGTTGAAGTCCACAAGTCATAATAGAGCCAAGATTGCCTACCTCTGGCCTAGGCCTAGGCCACTTCATGACTCGTGGACTTCAACTCCCAGAACTCCTGAGCCAGCTACGCTGAGGGGAAAGGGAGAGGTTGCCAAGCTGAGCCAAGCTGGCTCAGGAATTCTGGGAGTTGAAGTCCATGAGTTATAAAAGAGCCAAGATTGCCTACCTCTGGCCTAGGCCTAGGCCACTTCATGACTCGTGGACTTCAACTCCCAGAATTCCTGAGCCAGCTACGCTGAGGGGAAAGGGAGAGGTTGCCAAGCTGAGCCAAGCTGGCTCAGGAATTCTGGGAGTTGAAGTCCATGAGTTATAAAAGAGCCAAGGTTGCCTACCCCTGGCCTAGAAGTTTGGTTCACCTACATCTGATATAGCTACCGATAGAATAAATCATCTGCTTTGTCCGAGTGTGTTTGGGTGTGTATAAGAAAGAGAAAGAGAGAAATTTGTATTTGTTTCGTGGTCTTATTAATCCTTCTTTCCCCCCTCTGTTTTCCCAGGCTGGAAGCAGTTCAGAGCCACAGGCCAACGGGGAGACACCCCACGTAGCAGTTATTGTCCGCCAAGGTACGATGGCAGAACTGGTTGGTGTGTGTGTGATAGTGCATCGACAGCCCCACTTTATAATAATAATAATAATAATAATAATAATAATAATAATAATAATAATAATAATAATATTGTCGATAAGAAAGACAAAAAAGTCTGGATAGTGGACGTGGCAGTGCCTGGAGACAGCAGAATAGAAGAGAAAGAACTGGAGAAGATAACAAAATACAAAGACCTACAAATAGAAATAGAAAGACTGTGGCAAAAGCAAGCAAGGGTAGTACCAATAGTCATAGGCTCCTTGGGTGCAATCCCAAAACAACTGGAGCACCACTTGAACACAATTGGCATTGACAAATTCGCTATTAGTCAATTGCAAAAGGCGGCCTTATTAGGAACTGCTTCCATCCTGCGACGATATCTGTAATACCATCAAACATCTACATCTGCCTATCCCAGGTCCTGGGTAAGTACTCGATAGGTAGACAAAATGCCAAATCCAGTCTGAACATCTGGCTGACTGTGCGATGATTGATAATAATTCGCTATTAGTCAGTTGCAAAAGGCAGCCTTACTAGGAACTGCTTCCATCCTGCGACGATATCTGTAATACCATCAAACATCCACATCTGCCTATCCCAGGTCCTGGGTAAGGACTCGATAGGTAGACAAAATGCCAAATCCAGTCTGAACATCTGGCTGACTGTGCGATGATCGATAATAATAATAATAATAATAATAACATGGTTGTGGGGCTTGTGTACTCTGAGGAAGATGAGAGCTATGCCAGAGGTTCAACCATACTGGACAGGTCTCATCAGAGGAGTCAGACAAAGAGTGTCTCTCCCATAAAAAATATGGTGAGACGTAAATTTCAGAATGCCATACCGGCTCGGACGTCGCCCGGGTTAACAAGGTCCGCACTAGATATTGGAGTTCCTGGATATCTGGTGAAAAATGGGTTACAGGACTCAGGACTGTTGGCTGAGCAACCAGGGCCAGCAGCTGCAGAACTACTGGAAGAAAAGGTGTTTACCCGTCGCAGATACACAGTGATGGAAAACAAAGAAATAATGATCTGTTACTACAGATCAAGTCCAACAAGAAGAGGATATCTAAAACGAATGCACCAATTCTGGAAAGAACAACATCCAGAATCAGAAATAACAGAACAGAGACTAGCAGATCAACGCCGATTTATAACACGAAATAAAGTATTCACAGAAACAGAATTGGACGAACTGCAAAGGTTTACCCAGGGCAAAGAAATCAAAGCCTTACCAGAAGTAATTCAGAATGTAGAGGCAAACCAGGGGGAGTTGGCAGTGAAGGAATCCAGCAGAGATATACAACTGTTCTCATTTGGAAACCAGGCACCTCTTCCTCAGGAAGAACAAAACCCTCTAACTAAAGAAATAAAAGAATTGAAACAAAGAATAACTGAGCATCTAGAACAGCACAAAAACAACAGAATAAGGCTGCCTGCATTGAAGCTTGTTCCAAAGAAACAGCTAGCACAAGCATTAAAAGATGCAAATACTGCAATAGCAAGTATAAGCACCAATTCACTGCAAGAAACAAACCAACTAATGTACAGCACAGCTGCAGTTATAACAGAATACCTGGGATGTAAAATCAACAAAAAGAAAAACAAACAAACAGTGCACCACAAAAATGGAAGGTTAGACTAGAAAATAAGATCAGCAAGTTAAGATCACATGCAAGCAAGCTAGAACAGATGAAAGAAAAGAAGCTGAAGAACAAGAAGACCAAAGAATACCTAATCAAGAAATACCACTTAGAAACAAGGAAGATCAAGGAAGCACTGGAAATAATAAAGCAACAAATAACAGCTATAGCCAGGAAAATCAGTAGATATGAAGCTCGAATTGCAAACTATAGGCAGAACCTCCAATTTCAATCCAATCAGAAACGTTTCTACCAATCCATCAATGGAGAAACTGCAAGGAATCAGTCAGTACCTGACAAGGAAGAAACAGTGCAGTTCTGGAAGCAGATATGGGATAACCCAAAGAAATACAACAAGGATGCGGCTTGGTTAAAAGAGGTGGATGCAAATAAAACAGAAGTTGAAATGAAAGAACTAGTAATAACAACAAAAATGGTAGAAAAAAGAGCAAAGAAAATCAAAAATTGGTCAGCACCAGGTGAAGATGAACTGCATGGGTTTTGGTTGAAACATCTAACTGTTATACACCCACTCATTGCCAAGCAGTTCAACAATGTACTACAAGGAGGAGAAATTGAAAAGTGGCTAACAACTGGGAAAACCTACCTAATAATGAAAAATCCAGCAAAAGGGGCAACACCAGGTAACTACAGGCCAATTACCTGCTTACCAACAACTTTCAAATTACTAACTGGTGTGGTAGCTGATGCAGTACAACAGCATCTAGTTGAAAACAATCTCTTTCCACCTGAGCAGAAAGGAAACCGCCCCAATAGCAGAGGAACAAAAGATCAACTCCTAATAGACAAAATGATCTTGGAAAACTGCAAGAGAAGGAAGACCAACCTGAATGTGGCATGGATTGACTACAAAAAGGCATTTGACTCTCTGCCACATGATTGGATAATAAAGTGCCTAGAAATAACAGGAGTCAGTAGAAACATCAGAAAATTTGTGCAAAGATCGATGGCACAATGGAAGACACAGTTGCAGATCAATGGTGAGAGCTGGGAGAGGTTAATATCAAGAGAGGAATATTTCAAGGAGATTCATTATCACCATTACTATTTGTTATTGCACTGTTTCCTCTGTCAACAATACTGAATAACTCAGGACATGGTTATCAAACATCAAAAACATCTGCAGACTATCCCACCTCCTTTACATGGATGATCTGAAGCTGTATGGAAAAACATCATCTGAAATAGAATCGCTGCTCAACACTGTCCGTATATATAGCCAAGATATTGTAATGGAGTTTGGCTTGGACAAATGTGCCACACTTACTATCAAACAAGGAAAAATAGTGAAAACTGAAGGAATCAAGATGCCCCACGAAAATAACATTAAGAGTCTGGACGAGGAAGAATACTACAAATACTTGGGTATCCTTCAAGCTGACAACATCAAGCACACTGAAGTCAAGAAAAAGATTAGAGGTGAATACATCAAGAGAGTGAAGAAGATCTTAAAATCCAAACTCAATGGAGGAAATACCATAAAGGCAATCAACACCTGGGCAATCCCAGTCATTAGGTACACAGCTGGAATAGTGGACTGGACTCAAGCAGAACTAAAAGCAATGGATAGGCAGACCAGAAAAATAATGACAATGAATCACGCCCTTCATCCACGCAGTGACATTGATAGACTTTATCTACCAAGGCAAATAGGTGGGCGTGGAATGCTACAAGTACATCAGATGGTTGAAGAAGAAAAAATGACTTTGGAAGAATATCTGAAGAACAATGATGAAGATGCACTGAAATTAGTATATCAGGAAGGCTTACTAACTACTGGAGAGACCAAACTGGCCTACAAGAAAGACCAAATGAAGAACAGAATAAAGGCATGGGAAGACAAAGCACTACATGGCCAATACATGAAAGAAATAGCTGGGAAAGCAGATAATAATAAAACCTGGCAATGGCTAAGAGCAGGAAAATTGAAGAAAGAGACCGAGGGACTAATTCTGGCTGCACAAGACCAAGCCTTAAGGACAAATGCATATAAAGTCAAAATTGAGAAGACAGCAACAGACAGTAAGTGCCGCCTATGCAAAGAAGCTGAAGAAACAGTGGACCACTTGGTAAGCTGTTGCAAGAAGATTGCACAAACTGATTACAAGCAGCGGCATGACAAAGTAGCAACAATGGTGCATTGGAAGATCTGCAAAAAATATCATTTGCCTGTAAGCAAAAACTGGTGGGATCATAAAATAGAGAAAGTCATAGAAAATGATAAAATTAAACTGCTCTGGGACTTCAGAATTCAAACAGACAAGCACCTGCAACATAACACCCCAGACTTAACAATTGTCGATAAGAAAGACAAAAAAGTCTGGATAGTGGACGTGGCAGTGCCTGGAGACAGCAGAATAGAGAGAAAGAACTGGAGAAGATAACAAAATACAAAGACCTACAAATAGAAATAGAAAGACTGTGGCAAAAGCAAGCAAGGGTAGTACCAATAGTCATAGGCTCCTTGGGTGCAATCCCAAAACAACTGGAGCACCACTTGAACACCATTGGCATTGACAAATTCGCTATTAGTCAATTGCAAAAGGCGGCCTTATTAGGAACTGCTTCCATCCTGCGACGATATCTGTAATACCATCAAACATCCACATCTGCCTATCCCAGGTCCTGGGTAAGGACTCGATAGATAGACAAAATGCCAAATCCAGTCTGAACATCTGGCTGACTGTGCGATGAATGATAATAATAATAATAATAATAATAATAATAAAGGTGGAAGGGACTGGAGCTGGAGTGGTTGAGAAGTACAGTGATATCTTGGTATTATAATAATAATAGTAATAATAATAATAATAACAACAACAATAAAGTTGGAAGGGACCTTGGAGGTCATCGAGTCCAACCCCCTGCTCAGGCAGGAAACCCTATACCATTTCAGACAAACGGCTGTCCAGTCTCTTCTTAGGAACTTCCAGATATGGAGCATTCACCGCTTCTGGAGGCAGGTTGTTCCACTGGTTAATTGTTTTAACTGTCAGGAAATTTCTCCTTAGTTCTAGGTTGCTTCTCTCTTTGGTTAGTTCCTTTTGTCTGTCCGTTTGCCTGTGTGAAGCTGGCACTTAACAACAGTTAACTCCCATGTAATCAGAAAGAAAAACAGGTTTTCTCTCTTCCTCTTGTGTTTCCAAGACTTTTGGAAGATGCTTAGTGACCGTTCTAAGTTGCAGCGGCGCTGAAAAAAAATGGACTTAGGACCCCTTTTCACACTTACTGACCATTGCAGTCTTCCGACAGTCACGTGTTTAAAATTCAGACGCTTGGCAACTGACTCATATTTACGACGGTTGCAGTGTCCCGGGGATCCTACGGTCATCTTTTGCCACCTTCTGACAAGCAAAGTCAATGGGGGAGTTCACTTATGACCTGGCAAGAAAGGTGATAAAAATGGGGCAAAATCTCACTTTACAAATGTCTCACTTAGCGACAGAAATTTTGGGGCTCGGTTGTGGTCGTATGTCGAGGACTGCCTGTACAACATAATGCCCGAATCCTATCTTAGGATTCTTGATCCATTTGGAATCTTATTACTTGGAACAAAAGGGAGGGATTTGCCAGTGGATCAGCATGCAAAGTACCTGTGGGAGACCCAGCTAATTAAATGACTGGCAGTGGAAATTCAGTTTTGTCTGGTGGGTTAGAGCAGCGTTTCCCAAACATTGGGGCTTTGTGGACCGGGGGGGGGGGGGAGAGAGAAGGGATGGTTCTGCATGAGTGATGGGCAAGCACACATGCGCAGCTCCATTTGCGCAAGTGGCGAAGGAGTGCGCCCACCACTCACACAAATAGAAAGCACAGGTTCGCCGGCCACTCGTTGAAGAAGGAATCGGGCGTGCTCTCCCACCACTTCTGTGGCGCGGCTCCGAATGGCTCACGGCCCGGTAGTGGGCTGCAGCCCGGGGGTTAGGGACCCCTGGTTTAGAGCAGTGGTTCTTAACCTGGGCGATATTGCCCCCCAGGGGGTGATTTCATTTTTCAGGGGGGCGAAGGAATGAAAAGGGGGGCAATATGGGGGCAATGGAGCGAGAAGTTTGGGGGACACTTTTGAGACTTTTTCGTGCAGTGAATGGCTGTATATCTGTCGTACAAAAACATCAGATTGCTCGCTATTAGTGGATTGAATTGTGTTTTCAAATTTTCCTCCAGCTAGCTTCAGTACAGTTGCGCAGCGGCCTCTACCCATACAGTGGTGCGCCATAGCCAGAATATGGGAGATATGGGGAAAAGACTGGAAATAAATTATTTGCATCGATATGTCCTGATGACAATTTTAAAGAAAACAAAAAAAGTGTTTGCATAAATCGAAGAATTCTTTCCTATGTTGTGATTGAGAGGTTATGTTGGGGGAGGGGGGCGATGACAACTTCCTCACTAGCTCAAGGGGGCGATTTGTTCAAAAAGGTTAAGAACCACTGGTTTAGACCACCAGTCTCCAACCATGACAGCTTTAAGACTTCAACTCCTAGAAGTTGAGGAATTCTGGGAGTTGAAGTCCACAAGACTTAAGGTTGCCAAATTTGAAGTCCCCTGCTTTAGAGCAGGGGTCTTCAAACTTGACCCTTTTATGACTTGTGGACTTCAACTCCCAGAATTCCTCCTGGCTGAGGAATTCTGGGAGTTGAAGTCCACAAGTCATAAAAAGGCCAAGTTTGAATACCCCTACTTTTAGACTAAGGTTGCCATGGCGTTTGGTTTTTAAGCCAGTGTTAGAAGGAAGCTTAGTTTAAAACGCACATCTTAACAATTTTTGGCGGACAGATTTATTTTTTTTAAAACAAAACAAAACAGGATAGCTGTGTAGTAGATCCAGCTGCAGAGCAATCTCAATGATAGATTGCAGTTGCTTGGTTGCTAATGTTTTTTTTTAAATAGTTTTTTTTAGGGAAATTAATAAATTAATTAATATTAAACTATTGGCATTACCTTACATTAAATTTAAAAAAATAATTTGTTTGGAATGTTGCTTTATGGAAAAACAAATCCTTCCAAGTTGAAAGGGCACGTTCTTAATATGCGGGGTCTCTTTTAAGTGCTGCTAATCTTTAAAGCAGGAACTTTGGCTCCTATTTGTGTCTCATTTATCAATATTATATGCATTCTTTTGCTTTAATGTGTAGGCCACTCAATACAAAATGTGCCTGGCTGAGGAATTCTGGGAATTGAAGTCCACAAGTCATAAAAGGGCCAAGTTAAGACCCCTGGTCTAAGGGCTATTGCTAAGTGATACCCCGTTTCTCCGAAAATAACCAGAAAATAAGCCCTAATGCAGTGATGGCGAACCTTTTAGAGACCGAGTGCCCAAACTGCAACCCAAAACCCACTTATGCATCGTCGGGTGCCAGGTGGAGGTGGCCATTGGCTGGGGGTGGCCAATTGGGTGGGGGTGGCCCATTGGCTGGGCGCGGCTGTGATGGTGACGGCAGACTGGGTGGGACTGAAAAGTTCAATCAATCAATTCCAACTTTCCAAGATCTTTTTTTTTCCCCGCAAGTTGAAATTGATTGATTGATTGGACCTTTTTTTTTTCTTTTTTTTGCACACGGCAGTGGAGGCCTAAAGTGAAAAAGGTTTTATAAAACCCAGCTGAAGGCCTAGGATTGGGGCGACAGCGCGCATGCTCACAGGGAAGGCTCTGAGTGCAGCCTCTGGCACCCTTGCCATAGGTTCGCCACCAGTGCCCTAATGCATCCTTTGGAGCAAAAATTAGTATAAGGCCCGGTCTTATTTTGGGGGGAAATACGGGTATTTATATTGGCTGCCATTTTCTGAGCAAAAATAAATTGCACGTTCTAGAGCAGGGGTCCTCAACCTTGGCAACTTTAAGACTCGTGCACTTCAACTCCCAGAATTCCTCAGCCCTCATGGCTGGTTGAGGAATTCTGGGAGTTGAAGTCCACAAGTCTTTTAAGTTGCTAAGTTTGTAGGCTCCTGAGCCTAGCTGGTTGGCCCTTCTGAGCTTTTCCACAATGTAGAAAGCATGCACCCCCCCCCCCAAATCCCTTCCTTGTACTCTTAAAGACACAGGAACCAAGTGCAAAGCAAGAAAATAAAGAAACACAAATTCCTTTTTTTCCCCCTCTCTTTAAGCTGCCTCAGGCCGGTCACGTGTCACAATGTTGCAATTCTAGACTGAAAGGCTCGGGCAATTGGGGAACGCTTTCGCTTTAAATCAATGGTTCTCAACCTGTGGGTCGGGACCCCATTTGGGGTCGAACGACCATTTCACGGGGGTCGCCAAACAACACAGTCCGCCATTTTTCCCCCCTTTTCCTTAGCTGTGCTACTCCCTTTTATTTATTGGCTTTTGAAAGCCAATAGAATAGACTCTCTTGCATAGAGTCTAATTCTATTGGCTTTCAAAAGCCAATAGGAATTGTTCAGGCTGTCTCTGCCCTGCTGAGCCCACCAAAAGTCCCATTCTGCAAACAGTGCTGCACCAGTTGAGTAGTCCTTGACTTATGGCCGGTTGAGTAGTCCTCGACTTACGACCGGTTGAGTAGTCCTCGACTTACGACCGGTTGGGGGGGGGTCACAGCATTAAAAAGGTTGAGAACCACTGCTTTAAATTAAGCCTGTTTACCTTCAAAGAAAACTTTCTCAAAGCCAGAGACAGACTGTATTAAAGGGGGTAAAACTAATTACATTTGTTTAAAGGGATTAAACCTTTCCTGTTGTCTTTTTTCCCCTTCCCCCACCCAAACCACGTTCTTTTAGAGTCTCTCCTCTCTCCCCCATCCCCGCTTTTTCTTCAGTTCGCCTCCAGCTCTGAGCTGCTTCTGGAAGTGTCAATCAGCTGGAGCTCCTGGGGCTTTTCCCGAGCCCAGACAGTCCCGCAGCTGCTTGGCTCGCTTGGCTCATTCCCCCTCCCCTGCTACACTTGGCTAGCAATCGCGTACCACCTGCCATGTGGCAAAGTACCACAAGTGGTACGCGTACCACCAGTTTAAAAGCCCTGCTCTAGAGCAGTGGTTCTTAACCTGGGCGATATTGCCCCCCAGGGGGTGATTTCATTTTTCAAGGGGGCGATGGAACGAAAAGGGGGCGATATGGGGGCGATGAAGCGAGAAGTTTTGGGGACACTTTTGAGATTTTTTCGTACAGTGAATCGCTGTATATCTGTCATACAAAAACATCAGATGATCGCTATTAGTGGATTGAATTGTGCTTTCAAATGTTCCTCCAGCTAGCTTCAGTACAGAACGCCGTACATATGAGGATATGCATCGCTTATCTTCATGCGCATTGCACAGCAGCCTCTACCCGTACAGTGGCACGCCATTGGCCAGAATATGGGAGATATGGGGAAAAGACTGGAAATAGATTATTTGCATCAATATGTCCTGATGACAATTTTAAAGAAAACAAAAAAGTATTTCCATAAATTGAAGAATTATTTCCTATGTTGTGATTGAGAGGTTATATTGGGGGAGGGGGGGCGATGACAACATCCTCATTGGCTCAAGGGGGGCGATTTGTTCAAACAGGTTAAGACCAACTGCTCTAGAAGACTCAACTTTCTTTTTCCTTTTTCCCACCAGATGATCGTTCCAAGGCCACCCCAGTAGTAAGTAAACCGGTATCCTTGGAGCCTAGTAAATCCGCTTCCCCATCTCCCCCTCCGCCCCTGACCGAGGTGGAGCCTGTGCAGCCGGCCGCTGTGACGCTGGTGCGCCCAGAGAGCCCTGTTGCTGTGGACACTAGAGAGGAGCTGACGGAGGTCCCTGAAGACATCCTTGAGCCCATTAGCGCCACCACTACAGTGCCCGGGGGTTTTGTGCCCCCTCCGGAGTCCTTTGTTTTGGACACAGAGCCTCGGGAAGAGGTAGCTGCTAGCCCCGTTTTGGAGGTTCCTTCCCAGCCACCCCCAGAAACGCTGGTGGATGAAGAGGTGGCGGCACCAGCAGCAGCAGCAGAAGAAGAGACGGTGGTTACCCAACAGGAGGTTTCTCAACCCGAGGAGCCTCCCGTAACGCTGCCGTGCGCGCCTCCCGTTCCTTCTCCTCCCCCAGAGGAGGTGGCCGAAGAGGCCATCGAGTCAAATGGAGTCTTAGAAGAGGAGCTGCTGGAGGCGGTGCCCGAGGTGCCCCCGTCCGAGCCGGAATCGCCCATGGAATCGCCCATTGCTCAACCCGAAGAGGAGGAGGTGCCTTCTGGGCTTGGGATCCCGGAGAAGCAAGAAGCCGAAGAGCCGGAGGAACCGCCCGAATCGGATATCAGCCCCATCTCGGAACCCGAAGAGGTGAAGCCCGAGGAGGTGGTTGTCCCGGTGACTGCTGCGCCTGTTGTAGAAGAAGAGGTGGAGGCGGAGGCGGAGGCGGAGGCAGAGGAAGAAGTGGAGGAGATGGCCGAGGTCCCAGAGCAGAGCGCCCAGCCGGTGACTGCCCAACCCTTGGAGACCACGGAAGTGACGACGCAAGGTGAGTACCCACAGCAGCCTCCCAGGCAGCTGGATGCCATCTTAGTCTTTGAGAAGTCTGTGAGGTGCAGAACGGTGCTCTCTGAGCTTTGTTACCCAAACTAGGCATAATAACATCATCAGTGCTGGACAAGCACTGACGACGCAACCGGGTTTGGGTTAATGAAACGTCTGCAAGAAAACAACCCAAGAAGCTCAGAGAGCAGCAAGGACCCCCGTCATACCAATATTCTCCTTTACTGATATGCAGGCGTGTTTGTTTTCCTTTTGCAGTACAGAGATAGGAACCTCCAGTCTTCCAGGTTGGAAGCATCCGGAATCCATCCCCAGGTCAGGCTGGCCGGGGGTACTTAGAGAGGTGATTTTGGACCAGTGATGGCGAACCTTATAGAGACTGAGTGCCCAAAAATTGCCCCCATCCTCCCGCTCTGCAAGCCCACAGGGCCACCCACCGCCTCGGCCCACTGCAGCAGATCGCCTAGGCAGCTCAACAGTGCCATGATGGCCATGCCCTCCGTCCGCGCCCCGCAGCATCATCTGTGCGCGACGGCAGAGTCTTGTCCCCACTGCTCAGTTGCCATGTCTTTGGCTGCGCTGCTCTGCGTGGGCCGCACTCAGGGGCGACTCTCCTCCAGGGGGGCTGCTGGTGAGGAGGGGGCTGCGGGGAGGAGGCAGGGCTGGGGCGATGGTGCGCGTGCCCACAGAGAGGGCTCTGAGTGCCGCCTCTGGCACGCGTGCCACAGGTTTGCCACCACTGTTTTAGACCATCTCAGAACATGTCCCCTCAAGCAGTTTACAGAATCGGTTTGGGCCAAATTAGGATCTTTCCCTAAAGCTTTAGCTTTGCATGGTGTTTGATAGGATGCCATGCTAGATGATTCCTTCAGTTGTGCCAGAGGGCACTGGGTTGGTTGCTATTGCTCCTCACCCTCATGGTCTGCTATACATGGGTGGTACAGGCAGCCCTCGACCTAAACAGCAGTTCATTTAGTGACCGGTCACAGTTACAACCTTAACTGAAAACAGTGACCTTACGACTGTTTCTCACACTTAACAACTTTTGCAGCATCCCATGTCCACGTCCGCAAAACATGGCCGCGTTGCAACTGACTCGAATTTATGACGGTTGCCGTGTCCTGGGGTCACGGGATCCGCTTTTGCGACCTTCTGATCAGCAAAATCAGTGGGGAAGCAGATCCACCTAACAACAGTGTTACTACCTTAACCTCCCCCCTCAGTGATTCACTTACAAACTGTGGCAAGAAAGGTCGTAAAATGGGGCAAATCTCGCCTAGCAAATGTCTCACTGAGCAGTAGACACTTGTTGTGGTCATAAGTCGAGGACTACTTGTATTTGTGGGGTCCTTGATGCTCTCTGAGCTTAGTTGGCAGTTTCTGGTAATTCTTGAGTTGGCACTATCAGCTCAGTAAGCGACAGCTAAGCAAGGAACCACCAAGCACTCCCGCCAACATTGACAGAGGAAGCCATTTGTATAGAGCAGGGGTAGGCAACCTCAGCTCTTTGATGACTTGCGGACTTCAACTCCCAGAATTCCTGAGCCAGCATGGCTCAGCTTGGAAACCTCTCCATTTCCCCTCAGCATGGCTGGCTGAGGAATTCTGGGAGTTGAAGTCCACGAGTCATAAAGCAGCCTAGGCCTAGGGCAGGGGTGGGCAACCTTGGCTCTTTTATGACTTGTGGACTTCAACTCCCAGAATTCCTCAGCCAGCATGGCTCAACTTGGAAACCTCCCTTTCCCCTCAGCATGGCTGGCTGAGAAATTCTGGGAGTTGAAGTCTGCGAGTCATAAAAGAGCCGAGGTTGCCTACCCCTGCTCTAGACCTTGGTAAGTTTAAGACTTGTGGACTTCAACTCCCAGAATTCCTGAGCCAGCATGGCTCAGCTTGGAAACTTCTCCCTTTCCCCTCAGCATGGCTGGCTCAGGAATTCTGGGAGTTGAAGTCCGCGAGTCATAAAGAGCCAAGGTTGCCTACCCTGGTATATGTAGAGAGAAAGCAAACCCCACTTCCTTCTAGCACTGATGATGTTAACTAGTTGGATAATGAAACGGGTCTGCAAGAAAGCATCCAGACCAATTTGAGTTACAAATATTCTATGGATGGTATTTCCTGTAGACAAGGGTCCCCAGCAACCAGTTCGCAGAAACAAGCAGAGCCCCATCCGTGGGATGCAGGCAGCGCACAAAACCACACACTCTCTGGCCCGTGGAAAAAACTTTTCTCCATGGAACCGGTCCCTAGTGCCCAAAAGGTTAGGGACCTCTGCTGTAGACCAAGGAATTTATTGTCTTCAGAGCATTTAATAATAATAATAATAACAACAACAACAACAATAATAATAATAACTGGAGAAGATAAGAAAATACAAAGACCTACAAATAGAAATAGAAAGACTGGGGCAAAAGCAAGCAAGGGTAGTACCAATAGTAATAGGCGCCTTGGGTGCAATCTCAAAACAACTGGAGCACCACTTGAACACCATTGACATTGACAAATTTGCTATTAGTCAATTGCAAAAGGCAGCCTTACTAAGAACTGCTTCCATCCTGCGACGAGATCTGTAATACCATCAAACATCCACATCTGCCTATCCCAGGTCCTGGGTAAGGACTCGATAGGTAGACAAAATGCCAAATCCAGTCTGAACATCTGGCTGACTGTGCGATGATCAATAATAATAATAAAGTTGGAAGGGACCTTGAAGGTCATCAAGTCCAATCCCCTGCTCAGGCAGGAAACCCTATACCATTTCAGACAAATGGCTGTCCAGTCTCTTCTTAAAAACTTCCAGTGTTGGAGCATTGACCGCTTCTGGAGGCAGGTTGTTCCACTGGTTAATTGTTCTCACTGTCAGGAAGTTTCTCCTTAGTTCCAGGTTGCTTCTCTCCTTGATTAGTTTCCATCCGTTGCTTCTTGTCCTGCCTTCAGGGGCTTTGGAGAATAGCTTGACTCTCTATTCTTTGGGGCAGCCCCTGAGATATTGGAACCCTGCTATCATGTCACCCCTCGTCCTTCTCTTCATTAAACTAGACACACTCAATTCCAGCAACCGTTCTTTGTATGTTTTAGCCTCCAGCGCCCCAGGCACTTCTGCCTTTGATGCCTTGGTCCATTTCAGTCTTGCAAAAGGTTCAAGGGCTGCTGTCCCATAGTATCCTGAGCAGATGGTATGGAGGCCACAACTTCATCCCAGGATGCAACATCCTCTATTTCTGTCATGAAACCCCCCCAAAAATGGCTTCAGAGACGGGCTTTGCACTAGCTTGTTGCCTGGAGTGTCTTTCCCTGCCTCGTCAGGACATATCCATAACTTACGTGTCTCTGTCCCTCTGTTTAATCCCCTAGTAGCCATATCAGTGCCAAAGAGAAAGCGAAGGTTGAAGGATCTGAACAAGAAGGAGGCCGTTGGAGATCTGTTGGACGCGTTCAAAGAGGTGTGTAGCCTGCATATTATTAGGGAAGACAACGTGTTTCCCCCTTTTGACTAATGCACTGTTTCTCAACCTTCGCAGCTCTTAAGATGGGATGGACTTCAGCTCCCAAAATTCCCCAGCCAGCAAGATAGGGCTAGCTCTCCCCATGGTCACGTGATCAAAATCCAGACCCATGGCAACCGACTCATGTTTATAACAGTTGCAGTGTTCTGGGGGTCATGTGATCCCCTTTTGTGACCTTCTGACAAGCAAAGTCAATGGAGAAGCCAGATTCACTTAACAACCGTGTTACTAACTTAACCAGTGCAGTGATTCACTTAACCTCTGTGGCAAGAAAGGTCGTAAAATGGGACAAAACTCCCTTAACAAATGTTTTGCATATCAACAGAAACTTTGGGCTCAATTGTGGTCGTAGGTTGAGGACTACCTGATTATATACACACACAATATATACCTATAACTATATTTCTGTCCGTCCATCGATATCTATCTATCTATCTATCTATCTATCTATCTATCTATCTATCTATCTATTTCTGTATTATCTATCTCAGTATCATCGGTCTATCTATCTATCTCTCTACCCGTCTATCTATCTCTGTATTATCTACCTATCTACCTGTCTATCATCTATCTATCTATCTATCTATCTATCTATCTATCTATCTATCTATCTATCTATCTATCTCTGTATCATCTGTATATCTATCTATCTATCTATCTATCTCTGTATTATCTATCATCTGTCTATCTATCTATCTATATATATATCATCTGTCTATGTATCATCTATCTATCTCTATTATCTACCTGTCTATCATCTATCTATCTATTTATCTCTGTATTATCTATCATCTATATCTATATGTCTATTATCTATATCTGTCTATCATCTATATCTATTTCTGTATTATCTATCTATCTGTATTATCTATCTATCTATCTATATCATCTATCATCCATTTGTCTGTCTATCTATGTATTATCTAACTCTATCTATCTATCTCTATTATCTATCTCTATTATCTATATCTATCTATCGTCTATCCATCACAGTCCTTTTGAAGTCATCAGCTGCACGTGAACCTTGTGGGCTTCAACTGTGATTGTGGTGTTGGTGAAGAAAGCACCATTGCTGTGAGCTTGGAGGCGCAGGAGGAACACCGCCCCTCCTCCAGAAAGAGCCGTTTGGGGCTCCCTAGTTCTGTCTTTCATAGGATCTCCTTGCCTTTCCCTCTTAGGCCAGCGAGGGGGGCTCTGAGACAGAGAACAACCCCCCAGCGCCAGCCCTGGAGCCCGAGGAACCTGTCCCAGCTCGCTCCCAGGAGGAACCGGAGGAGACTTGGGAACAGAAGGAGGATAAGCTGGACCCCGATAAGGTCAAGCAAGCGGATCAGAAGTATCGCTACAAGGAAGGTGAGCCAGACCTGAGCAGCAGTTGCAATGTGGGGAAGGTGGTGGTGGTGGTGGGAAACTTCCCATTGAGTCTTCTGTGATGACCTCTGCTTTGAGCCATCGTGTCTGGGCCACTGAGGATAACCCTGTGATGGAACTGAGGATCTGAGTAGACTCATTGCCCAGAGAGCGGTTGGCGTTTCTTACATTACTGCCATGGTTTCCCAGGACTTTCTGGCCAGTCATTTGAGTGTCAAAGCCGGTAAACACCTAGATCAGGTGTCAAACTCGATTGCGTAACACGACGTATCGCGGCGTGTGTTTTTGCCTTTGCGGGGCCGGGGTGGGCATGGCCTGCGCGTGACGCGTCCGCCAGTTTGACACCCCTGATCTAGATCATTGCATCTCCACCTCAGCAACTTTTAAGATGGGTGGATTTCAACTCCCAGAATCCCCCAGCCAGCTATGCTGGCTGGGGGATTCTGGGAGTTGAAGTCCACCCATCTTAAAGGTGCTCCCGGTTGAAAAACACCGATCTAGTCTGCGAACTACTCGAAGGAGACTCTGCTTTCAGCTTTGCGCTGTCTATCTTCTTTCCCTTAATAGAGCAATGGAAGCCCTTGAACCCGGAAGAAAAGAAGAGATACGATCGGGAATTCCTGCTGGGGTTTCAGTATATGTTCGCTAGCATGCAAAAGCCGGAAGGCTTGCCCCATATCAGTGACGTGGTCTTGGAAAAGGTCTGTCCTCCAGTTCATTTTCTTCAGATGTCCATCAGAACCCTCTTTTTTTTTTTTTTTAAATAAGATGGTCGAAGAATTACCTGGCTTAGCCTGTTTAAAGCAGAAGCCAACGGGCAGGTTGCATCTGCTCCCCAACAGCCCAACAAGATTGAACCCCCAGCGAAAGCTGAGAGCAAAATGGTTGACTTTTAGACATATAGTTTTTCTTTCTAACATTTCTCTCCCCCCCCCCCCTGCAAAGAAGGAAGAAAAATCTGGAAGGCATATTGCTTTCATTTCCACTGTTACGTCCCAACTTCCAGGGTTCTCCAAAACAATCCTTCCAATCCAACACTAATGTTTGGTCGAGTTGTGCTGTAATCTCCGCAACAGAACCTGTGGATTCAGCAGTAGGATTGCCAGTCGAAATGGGCGCAGTTTGCCCTCCAGAATTTCCCGTGCCCACTAAAGAGCCAGTTTGGTCTAGTGTAGTGGTTCTCAACCTTTTTAATGCCGTGACCCCCCCCCCCAACCGGTCGTAAGTCGAGGACTAAACCGGTTGTAAGTCGAGGACTAAACCGGTCGTAAGTCAAGGACTGCCCAACCAGTCGTAAGTTGAGGACTTTCTCTGCCCGGGAGCGCTGCGCATGTGTGGTGCCGCCCCCTGCGCTGGCCGAGGCGTAGCTGGCAAGCGGCAGAGACAGAGCAGGCCGACCACCGGCTGCGCCACCAGCTGGCCCAGCCCAAGGGAGGTAAGGCACCCGTCGGAAAAGGGGGAAAAAAATGGCGGACAGTTTTGCTTGGCGACCTCGTGAAATGGTTGATCGACCCCAAATGGGATCGCGACCCATAGGTTGAGAACCACTGGTCTAGTGGTAAAAGCACCAGGGTAGTAGAGCAGGGAGATGGTGAGTTTTAGTCCTGCCTTAGCATGACAGCCAGCTGGATGGCTTTGGACCCATCACCGGGAGACTGTGAGTTCTAGTTGTGTGTTAGACGTGAAAGACCTCTGGGTGACTTTGGGCCAATCACTAGGAGACTGGGTTCTAGTCCTGCTTTAGGAATGAAAGTCAGCTGGGTGACCTTGGGCCAGTCGCCAGGAGATTGTGAGTTCTAATCCTGTTTTAGGCATGAAAGCTAACTGAGTAACTGGGCCAATCACTAGGAGGCTGTGAATTCTAGTCTCACCTTAGGCATGAAATACAGCTGAGTGACTTTAGGCCAATCGCCAGGAGACTGAGTTCTAGTCTTGTTTTAGGCATGAAAGCCAGCTGGGTGACTGGGCCAATCACTAGGACAGCGGTTCTCAACCTGTGGGTCGGGACCCCATTTGGGGTCGAACGACCATTTCACGGAGGGTCGCCAAACAACGCAGTCCGCCATTTTTTCCCCCTTTTCCTTAGCTGTGCTACTCCCTTTTATTCTATTGGCTTTCGAAAGCCAATAGAATAGACTCTCTTGAATAGAGTCTAATTCTATTGGCTTTCAAAAGCCAATAGGAATTGTCCAGGCTGTCTCTGCCCTGCTGAGCCCGCCAAAAGTCCCATTCTGCAAATGGTGCTGCACCAGTTGAGTAGTCCTCGACTTACGACCGGTTGGGGGTCGCGGCATTAAAAAGGTTGAGAACCACTGCACTAGGAGACTGTGAGTTCTAGTCCTGTTTTAGGCATGAAAGGCAGCTGGGTGGGCCAATCACCAGGACCTGTTTTAGGCATGAAAATCAGCTGAACGACTAGGCCAGTCACCAGGAGACTGTGAGTTCTAGTCTGACCTTAGGCATGAAAACCAGCTGAGTGACTTTAGGCCAGTCACCAGGAGGCTGTGAGTTCTAGTCCTGTTTTAGGCATGAAAGCCAGCTGGGTGACTTTGGGCCATTTACCAGTAGTTGGAGAGTTCTAGTCTTGCCATAGGAATGAAAACTGGCTGGCTGACCTTTAGCCAGCTATCTCAGCCCAACCCACTTCACAGGGTGGTTGTTGTGGGGGGAAAAAATAAGAAGAGGAGTGTACGTTAAGTCATCGTTCTGCCTCGAGTTATTTCTAAAAATAATAAAAGGCGGGATGCAAGCAAATGAAAAAAAAAAATCAAGTCCTTCTGAAATTAGGAAACAAATGAGAGGTCCACCTCTCTCCCTTGCAGGGATGTCCTGCAGAGGCCTTAGCTCAGCCAGGAAGTGAGTGGGGGGGGGTCTCTGACCAAGGAAAATGGCCCGTCTCCATTCTAGGCAGTGCCGTACATTAAATGCAATCCTCTTGGGGTGGGTGAGATAAAGAAGACAATGCGGTGATCTGTCCCAGAAAGTTGTGACAATCTGCAGTTCTTTTTTTGAAGTCAACAGGATTTGAGACCATGTTCTAGGTCAGGGGTAGAGGCAACCTTGGCTCTTTGATGACTTGTGGACTTCAACTCCCAGAATTCCTGAGCCAGCCATGCTGAGGGGAAAGGGAGAGGTTTCCAAGCTGAGCCATGTTGGCTCAGGGATTCTGGGAGTTGAAGTCCACGAGTCATGAAGCGGCCTAGGCCAGAAGTAGGCAACCTTGGCTCTTTATGACTCGTGGACTTCAACTCCCAGAATTCCTGAGCCAGCCATGCTGAGGGGAAAGGGAGAGGTTTCCAAGCTGAGCCATGCTGGCTCAGGGATTCTGGGAGTTGAAGTCCACGAGTCATCAAAGAGCCAAGGTTGCCTCTACCTCTGTTATAGGCAATCCTCTCCTTTGCAAGCGACGGACTTTTTGATGTTCTTTTTCCTGCCGCTTGGGCTTACAGGTGAACAAGGTGCCCCTGCGGCCCCTGGACCCCGTACGCTTGAGCACGATGAACTGCGGACCGGACTTCACACCCTCTTTTGCCAACCTGGGCCGCCCAGCCCCACCCAACCGTGGGCCGGTAGGTACCTTTGAGGCTCAGCCTGCCTGGCGAGGCATTTCCTGCCCTTTGGGCCCTGCATGATGAACTCCTAGTTAGTGCCGTCGTGTCTGGGCCACTGAATGCTCTGTGATGGAACTGAGGAACTGATCAGGCAGTCCAGGTTTTCTTTCGGGACTGAACACGTCCAGGGGGCAGAATAACTTCCAACTGTGGAGCCTGTGCTTCTGTCGAGCAGGCTTGTCTGGGCGAGACAAGCTCCAGAGGCCATGCTTGCAAAATCCTGATCTTCCTCTCTCTCTCTCTCTCTCCGCTTGTCCTGCATGGCAGCCTGCTGGGCCAGGACAACGGCGTTCCCAGCAAAGCCTGCGGAAGGAGCCCCGGAAGATTATTACCACAGTGTCTCTGAACGAAGACGTCAAACTGAACAAGGCCGAGAAGGCTTGGAAGCCCAGCAGCAAACGGGCCAGTGAAGTCGAAGATCCTGAGAACATAAAAACTCAGGTAGGGATCGATCGATCGATCAACCAGAACAAATCTGGAAGGGACCTCGGAGGTTGTCGGATCCAGCCTCCTGTTCAGGCAGGAGACCCTATACCAGACATGTCAAACACAAGGCCCGGGGGCCGGATGCAGTCCGAGAAATGGTTTCATGTGGCCTGCAAAGCCATCCTGGAAACAGTGAGGGAACGGCCCCCTCTGCCTTGGCCCTGGCCCAGGCCGGCCGGGAGCCAATGTACAATTTTTTTTTATTTTTTTTTTAAATTTTTATTCATAATACAATTAAAACAACAATGGACAAACATGACATTCCAGAGTGAATTTTCCTATCAGTTCCTATCATAGTACAAAAATTTAATACATTGTTCTTAACCTCTATATAAGCCTCATCTTTTATACAATACAATTATATGCACAGTTATGTATATCTTTTAATTCTACCATGAAGTCCGAGCAGTTCTTAATTCATACCAACAGTAAAATTTGCCCCAGATTTCGAAGTATTTGTGTTCCGTTTTGTCTTTCATAATCATTGTAAGCCTGTCCATCTCAGCACATATTAGAATTTTCTGCAGGATCTCTTCTTCCGTTGGGGTTCCCTTGTTCCTCCAATTTTGAGCAAAAACCAGCCTGGAAGCCGTTAAAATGTGTAGCATTAAATAAAGTACGCCTTTGTCATGTTTTTCCGTAGTTAAACCTAATAGAAAGAGTTCTGGTTTTAGTTCTACCGCTTGCTCTAATATTTCTTCCAACCATATTTTAATCCTGTTCCAAAAATCACAAGCTCGCGTGCATTTCCACCACATATGATAGTAAGTTCCACTTTTCAAATTACATTTCCAACATTTAGGGGAAACATTGGTATACATTTTAGACAATCTTGTGGGTGGGAGATGCCATCTATAAAACATTTTGTAAAGGTTCTCTTTGTAAGAGGTGAGCCAATGTACAATTTTGTGGTGGCCATCTATGCTGAAAAACATTCAGTTTTAGCTCCACAAGCTGTCCAGAAACAGCGAGGAACCAGCCCCTGCCGCGTCGGCCCCGCCCCCTGGGTGCATGCTGGGGAGGTGTCCCCCTTTGTGAGGAATGAAGAAATGGACCATGCCTTGGCGCTTGCCCCGGTCCCACCCCCTTCTGCCAGACACCCCCAGATCTGTCCCACTCCCACCCAGGCCCCCACAGGCACCCTTGACGCAAACGATGTAGAGCTGGCCATGCCCACCCAGTAGGCCACACCCACTCCATCCACACCCACCCATTAGGCCGCACCCACCCTGGCTGCACCCACCCGCCTCCCCCCCAAGGGCAACCGTAATGTTGATGCAGCCATCAATGAAATTGAGTTTGACACCCCTGCCCTATACCATTTCAGACAGGTGGCTGTCCAGTCTTTTCTTAAAAACCTCCAGTGATGAAGCACCCACAACTTCTGGAGGCAAGCTGTTCCACGGGTTAATTGTTATCACTGTTAGGAGGTTTTTCCTTAATTGCAGGTTGCTTCTCTCCTGGGCTTTGCTATCTCTTGTTGCAGCTGAGGCTGCTTTGGTGCTTTTCTCTCTTAATTGCTAGCTCCCTGGGACGCAGGTATTTGGTTTAGGAAAGTTAACTAGGGATTCACATCCTAAGATTTCTAAAGTTAAGATCACAGAAGATGAATGAAGATTTAATGAAGAGAAGGACGAGGGAGTGACATGATAGCAGTGTTACAATATCTCAGGGGCTGCCATAAAGAAGAGGGAGTCAAGCTATTTTCCAAAGCACCTGAAGGCAGGACAAGAAGCAACGGGTGGAAACTAATCAAGGAGAGAAGCAACCTGGAACTAAGGAGAAACTTCCTGACAGTGAGAACAATTAATCAGTGGAACAACCTGCCTCCAGAAGCGGTGAATGCTCCAACAATGGAAGTTTTTAAGAAGAGACTGGACAGCCATTTGTCTGAAATGGGTTTACTGCTTGAGCAGGAGGTTGGACTAGAACAGAGGTCCCCAACCTTTTGGGCACCAGTTCCGTGGAGAAAAGTTTTTCCGCAGACCGGAGGGTGTTATGGTTTTGTGTGCTGCCTGCATCCCATAGATGGGGCTTTGCTTGTTTGTGCAGACCAGTTGGCTCCATAGAAATAGAAATCGTTCAGTCCTGTCTCTTTGATGTAACCTCCAGAATATCTTCTGCAATCCCCGAACAAGTCATTTCCACCAAGTTTGAGAAGGGAGCAGCAGGTGAAACACACCAGTGGTATTTTCCCACAACGAGGTCGTCTCATTCCCTCTTTTCTTCCCACAGGAGCTGTTCCGACGGGTGCGCAGCATTCTGAACAAGCTGACCCCACAGATGTTCCATCAGTTGATGAAGCAGGTCAACGAGTTGTCCATTGACACAGAAGAACGTCTCAAGGGTGTCATTGACCTCATCTTTGAGAAGGCTATTTCTGAGCCAAACTTCTCTGTTGCCTATGCCAACATGTGCCGTTGCCTTATGGGGGTAAGTGGTCCAGGCATCAAGGGCCCACAAGTTCTCACACGCACGGCTCCCTTTCTGATGTGCAGTGGATTTAAGAGCCTTCCAGGATAGGCTGTGGAGATAATATTAACTGATGGTGGTTCAATAATGTAGCATCTCCACTTAGATACTATAGATCAGCGGAGAGGTCCATTCTCAGAATTTGGAAGTCCCCAATAACCGAGTTGCTAGAGGTTGCCTAGTTCAAGGGTCCCCAACCCCCAGGCTGTGGCCCATTCAGGAGTCCTCAACCCACGGGCTGTGGAAGCGGCCGATGAACATGCATGTGTGTGCAGCTCCATTTGTGCGAGCTGCACCTGCGCATGCCCACTGCTTGCATGAAACTATTCACCACCATCAGCAGTCCACCTAGCTGGAAAGATTGGTGACTGCTGGCGTAGTTGGCTCTGCCACAGCATGTAACCTGGCTAGTGTTGACCTTGGTTAGGATTTCTGTGGCTAATGTATGGATCGGTGTATTTAAAAAAAAACGGACATTGGGTATACAGGTTAATGTGGTATGAGCATAAACCGTATGTTGTGATATGATTGTGATCCAGATCATTGGTTTCTTGTGTACGGTCCTTGGACCAATGAGCGTTAGGAGAGCTTACCTGGATGGCGTCTCATGGTGATCCTCAACTCTCTCTTCTTTAGCTGAAAGTCCCCACTACCGATAAACCTACCGTCATGGTGAACTTTCGCAAGGTACTCTTGAACCGCTGCCAGAAAGAGTTTGAGAAAGACAAGGATGATGATGAGATTTTTGAGAAGAAGCAGAAGGAGATGGATGAAGCGGCTACTGTGAGTGGGGTTTGAACTTACAGCTCTGGAGCTTGGGTTCTGAGACCAAAAAGATTCTGACATTTTCAGCTTTCCTCTCCTCTCTCCTCTCCTCTCCTCTCCACTCCATTCCTCTCCCCTCTCCCCTCCCCTCCCCTCCCCTCTCCCCTCCCCTCCCCTCCCCTTAACAGCTGTAACAAGAAAGGTCATAAAACAGGGCAAAAGTCACTTAACAAACGTTTTGCATAGCAACCGAAATTTGGGGCTGGATTGTGGTCACAAGATGAGGACTTACCTGTATTTAATAAACTTAATTTCTCCAGCATGACGAGTGGAGAATCCACCAGTGGGTTTTCCTCGTCGTATGCCCATAGACTAGTCGGCCAATTTTGCTCCTCCTGACACCTCCGTTCCTTAATACTTATGTCATGTAACTGTACACGTTGTTAATCTCCTCTCCTGTTTGCTCGGTAGCCTGAAGAGAAGACGCGTCTAAAAGAGGAGCTGGATGACGCCCGGGACAAAGCTCGCCGCCGCTCTCTCGGCAACATTAAGTTCATTGGGGAGCTCTTCAAGCTGAAGATGTTGACCGAAGCCATCATGCACGACTGTGTGGTGAAGCTGCTGAAGAACCACGACGAGGAGTCCCTCGAGTGTCTGTGTCGATTGCTCACGACCATCGGCAAAGACCTGGACTTTGAAAAGGCCAAGGTACTTCACCCCCTGCGGTGGAAAGGAGGAAAGCAGCAATTGTCTTGCCTTTGAGGAACGTCAAAGGCCACTTGCGTTGGGCACGCACTTTAGGAAGGGTGCCGAGAGCACGTGTGTAGCACAGAGAGGGTCAACTCTGGCAACTTGATACCCTGTGGACTTCCAACTCCCAGAATTTCTGAGCACGGCATGTCTGGCTCAGGAATTCTGGGAGTTGAAGTCTGCGGGTGGTAAAGTTGCCATCGTTGCCCATCTCTGTCATAGCATGTACAGGGTCCATGGCTAATCTTCAGTTTGAGCACCTGCCAAGAAAGCTTAATGCAGTGGTTCTCAACCTGTGGGTCGCGACCCCATTTGGGGTCGAACGACCATTTCACAGGGGTCGCCAAACAACGCAGTCCGCCATTTTTCCCCCCTTTTCCTTAGCTGTGCTACTCCCTTTTATTCTATTGGCTTTTGAAAGCCAATAGAATAGACTCTATTGAATAGAGTCTAATTCTATTGGCTTTCAAAAGCCAATAGGAATTGTCCAGGCTGTCTCTGCCCTGCTGAGCCCGCCAAAAGTCCCATTCTGCAAACGGTGCTGCACCAGTTGAGTAGTCCTCGACTTACGACCGGTTGAGTAGTCCTCGACTTACGACCGGTTGGGGGGGGGGTCGCGGCATTAAAAAGGTTGAGAACCACTGGCTTAATGGGTGTGGCCAGGAAGACAGCAGGAGTCTAGCTTGGTTTGGGGGAGACATCCCTTCTAATATACAGCCCACAGAAGCAAAAGAGGGGCTTCTGTCAATCTCCTTCCCCTTTCGAATGCTTAGGAGCCCTGGTGGCGCGGTGGTTAAAATGCAGCATTGCAGACTAATTCTGCCGATTGCCAGCAGTTCGATCCTGACCGGCTCAAGGTCGACACAGCCTTCCATCCTTCCGAGAGATGATAAAATGAGAACCCAGATTGTTGGGAGGGGGGGCAATATGCTGACTTTGTAAACCACTTAAAGAGGGCTGTAAAGCACTATGAAGCAGTATTTAAGTGCTATTGCTATTCTCGAAGTGTGTATAAAGATAAAACCAGAGACTTTGGGGTTTGACGGATAATGACTTTGAAAGAAAAGTTGAGACTTTGATGCTATATATGTTGACAGAAGCAAGATTACTTTATGCACACAAATGGAAGGACGCATGATGATGATGATGATGATGATGATGATGATGATGATGATGATGGAGTTGGAAGGGACCTTGGAGGTCTTCTAGTCCAATTCCCTGCTCAGGCAGGAGACCCTATACCAGGGGTCTTCAAACTTGGCCCTTTTATGACTTGTGGACTTCAACTCCCAGAATTCCTCAGCCAGGCACACGTGCCTGGCTGAGGAATTCTGGGAGCTGAAGTCCACAAGTCATAAAAGGGCCAAGTTTGAAGACCCCTGCCCTGTACCATTTCAGACACACAATGGACCGTACGTTTGAACGTTCAGTAAATAAACGCTGGTAACCTGAGAACTACCTGTCCTGTTTCTATCGTGTCGTCTCCCTTCGTTGCTTGGCCGTACGCCAAATAAATAAAGGAGCTTCTTCATTTCTTGCTCTTCAGCCTCGAATGGATCAGTACTTCAACCAGATGGACAAAATAATTAAGGAGAAGAAGACGTCCTCGCGTATCCGGTTCATGCTGCAGGATGTGATTGACCTCAGGCGGGTAAGGTGCAGGGGGCAGCTCGCTTTTGGTCCCTGGGCTAGGTGACTGTCCCATTTCCTCCTTTTCTGAGGCAGGGCTGCAATTCCCTCCCAAGGCTAGCTGGGTGGGGTCAGGGGTCCTTGGTGCTCTCTGAGTTTGGATGCTTCCTGGCAGATGTTTCATTATCCAAAGTAGGTAACATCACCAGTGCTAGTATGGAATTAGTAATAGTAGAGGTCAGTACTTTCTCTCCTGGTTCCTATCCCCTGATACAAGTATTTCTCAACCCTATCGACTTTATGAGGTGTGGACTTCAACTCCCAGAATGCCCCAGCCAGCAAAGCAGACTGGGGAATTCTGGGAGTTGAAGTCCACACCTCATAAAGTTGATAGGGTTGAAAAACACTGCTTTATACTTTGTGCTGGCCTGTAAGTTCTTGGCTTCTGCACTGGGCTGATGCCATTTAAAGACAGTTGTGATAGAAAAAGGTTCCCATTGCTGATTCTTCCTATGCCAAAGGGTGCTACCCACTTCATCTCCACCTGGCTAAGGGTGCTGGCTGGGGTATACACAGTCTTTTCCTGATCGTTGTTAACGCTCCGATGCCTTGAGATGCCCACTGCCATTATCCCAGAATTAGTTCAGCATTTGGACAACTAATTTGTTTTGGATTGGCTCCTGGACCGCAAAACACCATGGTCTCTGGCATAGTGGACAATGTTTCACAGGGGTGGGTGTTTGCTTACAACGAGGACACAAAGAATGCAACCAGCAATCAACTCATAACTTTAGTGTACTTTTTACAGATGTTTGAATGGGAGATGGGGAACACAAACTGTAGCCAGTTTTTTTGGGGGGGGGGGACACAAGCGTTTTAAGAAGTGGAACGGGTCCCGTAAGGGTTGCAGGAGTTTACGGCATCCATTTGTATCTTACAACAACTGGCAGCAAGTAAAGATAAGATCTGGCTTTGCTGGTATTTGAGCACAGAATCTCATTCAGCCTTCAAACTGACAGGTGTTCCATGCCCCTGCCGTAGGTGGACTAAAAGCAGATAAGCCACCATGGAAGGATACAAGAATTTCCACTAAGTAGAGTAATTGTATAAGATCTTAGTAGTAGTAGTAGTAGTAAAGTTGGAAGGGACCTTGGAGGTCATCTAGTCCAACCCCCTGCTCAGGCAGGAAACCCTATACCATTTCAGACAAATGGCTGTCCAGTCTCTTCTTAAAAACTGCCAGTGTTGGAGCATCCACAACCTCTGGAGGCAGGCTGTTCCACTGGTTAATTGTGCTCGCTGTCAGGAAATTTCTTCTTAGTTCTAAGTTGCTTCTCTCCTTCATTAGTTTCCATTGTTGCTTCTTGTCCTGCCTTCAGGTGCTTTGGAGAATAGCTTGACTCCCTCTTCTTTGTGGCAGCCCCTGAGATATTGGAACACTGCTAGCATGTTCCCCCTCATCCTCCTCTTCATTAAACTAGACATACCCAATTCCAGCAGCCATAAATAAGCCTTTCAAGTTCCAGTAACTGTGGGGTCTTTGGCGTTCTCCGAGCTTGATGGTTTTCTTGCAGTTCTTGCTGACATTTTAGTACGGCAAGAAAACAAGTGAACTTAGAGAACACCCCTTCATTTCCACCCTGAGCAACAGGCATTCTCCTTTATCTATTTCAGTAACTGCTATGTATCAAACCCAAGCTCTGTTTATAGTGAAACTCACAGTTTTAGTATCCCTTTCTCCTGCCCACATAGGGTAACAGGAAGGACAACTATCTAGTCTCTGGAGCCATAGTTTCCCCTGTCTCTCGTTTTGGTATCGTGACAGATAATATATCAGACTGTTTTTCTTGTAACCGCGGGAGACCTTGGTCTCATACCAGCCTATAAATCCAGGCAATTGCTCATTTTGATCTCCCATTTGGTTATTCTCAAGTTTGTCACGCTATGTAGTGTGCTAAGAACTGTTCAGAGCTTCAAAATTCATGAGCCTTTGTGAGAACAGGTTGTTGTCGAGGTCCCGGGGTAGGCAACCTTGGCTCTTTTATGACGCGTGGACGTCAACTCCCAGAATTCCTGAGCCAGCCATGCTGAGGGGAAACCTCTCCCTTTCCCCTCAGCATGGCTGGCTCAGGAATTCTGGGAGTTGACGTCCACGAGTCATAAAAGAGCCAAGGTTGCCTATCCCTGGCCTAGGCCTAGGCCGCTTTATGACTCATGGACTTCAACTCCCAGAATTCCTGAGCCAGCATGGCTCAGCTTGGAAACCTCTCCCTTTCCCCTCAGCATGGCTGGCTCAGGAATTCTGGGAGTTGACGTCCACGAGTCATAAAAGGGCCAAGGTTGCCTACCCTTGGTCTAGGTGTTGCCCACTGCCTTCGGAGCTTGAACTGTCTCAGTCATTGGCTTTGTGTCTGCAAAATTGTAGCTTTATCAACCTTGTATTGTATTTACTCAGAAAACGTTTTACCTGTCTGATCTGCAGTCCTCAGATGCGCAAGCATCTTTCCTTTGGGAAACAGGTGATTATTACTCTTTAAGGAGGAGAACTCTTTTGAAATCTTGCATCAGGTAGCATGCATCCTTCATGCATAAAAAAAAGAGAATAATTCTGATGACCGATGTGTTCTCTTTCCCAGAGGCAAGGGCATCATGTCCTGTAACAATATTTTAGGTATCTGGGTAGGGCAGCAACGAAGCCTTATGAAGAGATGAAATTTCTGATACTCCCAACTTAGAAGCTTAAATAGGTTCCTTATAGTCATAGCACTGCGATGAGTAACATGATGCTGTGCTAATTCAGTGCAAGCCTAGAAGCCTTTATGGGCTAAATCTATAAACTAGAGGGGGTCCCCAGTTATTGGATATTCCTGTACCCCAATTTCGATGTCATGTCCTGGCTGAGAAGCCCAACGAAGCAAAACACCAGAGACATTGCGATCTCTAATGTAAACTTTATTTGTTGTTGTTAGTTGCGAAGTCGTGTCCGACCCATTGTGACCCCATGGACAATGTTCCTCCAGGCCTTCCTGTCCTCTACCATCTTCTGGAGTCCATTGAAGCTCACGCTTACTGCTTCAGTGACTCCATCCAGCCACCTCATTCTCTGTCGTCCCCTTCTTCTCTTGCCCTCCATCTTTCCCAGCATCAGTCTCTTCTCCAGTGAGTCCTTCCTTCTCATTAGGTGGCCAAAGGACTTGAGTTTCAACTTCAGGATCTGGCCTTCTAAAGAATAGTCAGGGTTGATCTCCTCTAGGACTGAGTGGTTTGAACGCCTTGCAGTCCAAGGGACTCGCAGGAGTCTTCTCCAGCACCATAGTTCAAAGGCCTCCATTCTTTGGCACTCAGCCTTTCTTATGGTCCAACTTTCACAGCCATACATTGCAACTGGGAAAACCATGGCCTTGACTATATGCACTTTTGTTGGCAGGGTGATGTCTCTGCTTTTTAGAATGCTGTCTAGATTTGCCGTAGCTTTCCTCCCCAGGAGCAAGCGTCTTTTAATTTCTTGGTAAACTTTAGTAGGCATTAGCAAACCGGTTAAGATAGAAAGAAAGCTAGCTCTGAGAATATGGTGGGAAACAGATAATTAATTAAAACAGTGAAACTTTCCCTCCTCTCTCTCTCTCTTGACAGTTCAGGTCACATTGTCCAAAATATCTTCCAGTAATTGTTATAAGAAGAAAACTTCAGTTGCCAAATCAACTCTTATTTATTTATTCATTTATTTAAAAATATTTATATGCCGCCCAATCCCAAAGGACTCAGGGCGGCGTACAAAGTTAAAACAGTCATAAAACAATAAAATAATACAGTCATACGGCCAGTCTGATCATATCCCGGCCCCCCGGGGACATCAGCCCCTGGCCTGCCGGAACAGGAGAGTTTTAACGCTTTCTTAAAGGCCGGCAGGGTGGGAGTAGTTCGAACCTGGGGGGGGGGGAACCTCTTCAACGGCTTCGGCTCTCACGTTGATAAGGAACACCTGTAGATCCCAAACTCCCCTCTTCCCAGTAGATTTTGTAGCTTGACATTGGATATATAAAAGTGTCAGTGACACTGATCTATCATGGGGAAAAGTATATCCAGCCCTTAGGCTCATGTAAACGAAATGAGGTAGCGGAAAGATCTTTAATCACTTTTGATATTGAGGGCAACGAAATAGTTATGAAGATATTTAGAAACTGCAGTCTCTACATACCCATTTTGTGTATTTATTTTATTTGTTTCAGAAAATTTGTGTGGCCGCCCACTCGCTCTCAGTGACCTTGGGCGGCTTACGAAAATAATTACATTGCCCCCAATATCCAAAGTTTCTGTCCTCGTATTCTAGAAGTACAGACCCTTGCTGAATGACTACAGGTGGGGCTGGCCACCCCATTGCTAAGCAGAGAAATCACATGACCGTGATGGGCTTAACAACTGCACTTCCCCTTCGGTCACTAACCAAGTCGTGGTTGTTAAGCGAAACATCTCAGGACAGTGACTTACGATTGTGCCTCCGACTCATCTATTAACTCGGCTGCAAGCCAGCTGGAAATGCATCTTTGAAATTGTTTGAGAGCGCCAGATGGCAGTTGTGTGACTGCCGGATGCTGTCACCGAGGCAGCGACAATGTGTGTCGCTGGTTGCAAAACACCTGAACGGCAGTGGTGTAATTGCGGGATATTGTGATGGCTGTAAAGATGAGGGTTAGTTGCGAAGCTCTTTATTATGTTTTGCACCGTCGTAATTTTGAACGTTTGCTAAATGAGGCAGTCGTTAAGCGGGGACTCAGCAAAAAAACCCGTTTGATAACGCGGTGGAAGAGGAGAATTCTAAACAAATATTGGCAATTGGGGTGATTTTGAAAGCAAATACCAAATCAGCGCAGAACAACATTGCAGCCTCAGTGTGATCAACAGTCTGGATCAGTAGCCCTGCCGTAAGCTGGTGCTTCCAAGTTTTAAAACAGGAGTGTCCAACCTTGGGAACTTTTAAGACTTGTGGACTTCAACTCCCAGAATTCCCCAGCCAGCATGAAATCCGCAAGTCTTAAAAGTTCTCAAGGTTGGACACTCCTGGTCTAGCACAGACCCACATAAAAGTGCAATGAGCAAGTTGGGAGCACCGACTTGGCCAAAATTAAAATCCTTTGGGGCAAAGAAGTGGGATAGAGAGGGAGACCTCTAGCTAGGAAGATCTGTCCTAAGCCATCTTTACCCAAAGAGGCCTAGACCAGCGGTTCTCAACCTGTGGGTCGGGACCCCATTTGGGGTCGAACGACCATTTCACGGGGGTCGCCAAACAACGCAGTCCGCCATTCCCCCCCCCCTTTTTTTCCTTAGCTGTGCTACTCCCTTTTATTCTATTGGCTTTTGAAAGCCAATAGAATAGACTCTCTTGAATAGAGTCTAATTCTATTGGCTTTCAAAAGCCAATAGGAATTGTCCAGGCTGTCTCTGCCCTGCTGAGCCTGCCAAAAGTCCCATTCTGCAAACGGTGCTGCACCAGTTGAGCAGTCCTCGACTTACGACCGGTTGAATAGTCCTCGACTTACGACCAGTTTGGGGTCGCGGTATTAAAAAGGTTGAGAACCACTGGCCTAGATACTTGTTGGAAACTGTCCTTCCGATGCTGGCTGGGGAATTCTGGGAATTGGAAGTCCACAAAGGTCTTAAAGGCGCCCAGGTTGGGCACCCCTGCTTTGAAGTCTCCCTGCTGTAAAGAGTTGAAGTGCAGTTGATACTGAAAGGGAGAAATACTGCTAGGAGCTGTGTTGTCCACCACGGCCTTTCTCTCATCCCTGGTCCGCCACTGTTGCCTTCAAGCCGCCGAGCGATCTGCATGCGGTAATGCCTCTCCCTGCTTCCCCTTATGCCTTTTGCAGAACAGTTGGGTGCCCAGAAGAGGGGATCAGGGTCCTAAGACCATTGACCAGATTCACAAGGAGGCTGAGATGGAGGAGCACCGGGAGCACATTAAAGTGCAACAACTGATGTCCAAGCAAGACAAGAGGAGAGGGCCTCCAGGCCCATCGTCCACAGGTGAGGTGGAAACCAAGAGAAATAAGAGGTCGTCTCGATGTTTTCTGCGCCGTTGTAACTTCAAAAGAGTCACTAAATGAACTGTCCTAAGTCGGGGACCGCCTGCATTGTTTCGTATGCGCTCACTGTTTCAACGGAAGGCAACTGTGTCTTTTTACAACGAGTCTAGGGGACTCAGGCAGGTGGTTTCTTCCCACGCTAACTTCTTTTTTCTTCTTCTATTTCAGTGTTTCTCAACCTTGACCATTTTAAGGCATGTGGACTTCAACTCCCAGAATTCCACAGCCAGCATTGCTGGCTGTGGAATTCTGGGAATTGAAGTCCACATGCCTTAAAATGGTCAAGGTTGAGAAACACTGTTCTATTTCAACATACAATGTTCTTTCCAATTCTCTTTTTTTTTATTGAAAAGTTTTATAAAAATTACAGTATACACCCCAAAGCCCACCCACCCTAAACCTCCCTCCCTCCCTCCCCCACTTCCCAGAGCTGAGTACAGGGTTACAAATATAATAATCAAACTCTAACTAACATTAACCAACTATATAAATAACCCAGTCCACAATACGCTTTAACTCCCCTTTAACATAGGTATAAACAAATTAAAAATAAACATAATAATATAAACAAGTCTATATCCTAATTATTAAACAATACAATATCCAAATTGTTAAACAATACTAATACTAAAAATAATAAAACGTTCTTTCCAATTCTTATGCTTACCTATTACTGGATGGCTTATTTCCCTGAGGTAATGGGGCAAGATAGATTCTTTTTTTCTTTTCTTTTTTTTAGAAACGTTTTATTGATTTTTTTTTTACAGTAACAATTCTTAGTGCCTAGTGTACAGTGTGTTGTCTTGGTTCATGTATTTTGAAAAAAAACGCATCAATAGTAGTTAATTCACAGACAATAATTATTATTTTTTATAATTCCATAATTAGTATATTCATTAATGGTGTATTTCTTTGATCGTCTCTTCTCCCAATAATATTCTCCTTCTTCAACCTTAAACAAATATACTCTTAATTTTTTCAATGCATAAATGGTTAAATATAAACATTTTTTTCATGTCCACATATGACATTTTTTCTTATCAACTTGTGTTATTTTTCTAAAAATCATCTTATTAGTTCGCCATATATCCTATTCTCACAGTTCTGATTTAAACTTAATTTCCCCTTAATATTCAAACAATTCTTATCAGTCATAATTTGCTCAATACATCTAAATATCCAGGTTTTCCATTTAGATGCACCATCCCAAAGTTCCTATTTCATACGTTATGAAAATACTATACTGCTTATCTATCTTACGACATCTGCCTCTAACATCGTCTCTGATCAGTTTATATTTCACTTACATTTGTAGAAGTTAATTTGTTAAATCGCGATATATCTTTTATACATTCTTCTTTACCAATCCATTTTTTTCTCTGAACTTTGTTCGTTGTGCAAAAAGCAAATGCGGGCCCTTTGTTCCCAGCTTTCTCTCTGTTGCAGAGAGCGAATCCTTTTTATTGAAACGTTTCCAATAAATTGTCTTAAAATAATATTCCAACCTAGTATGCTTAATTGGAGTCTAATATGCCAAGACAGAGCCTAATACCAGATTGGACTATTAATACCCTTTCCGTTACACAGTGATAAAATAAACCATTGCAGTTAGTCCTCGACTTACGACAGTTCATTTAGTGACCGAATAATGAGTTACGATCGTTTTTCACACTTACGACCCTCACAACATCCTCAGGGTCACGTGATCCAAATTCAGACGCTTGGCAACTGACTCACATTTATGACGGTTGCACCATCCCCAGGGTCACGTGATCCACCTTCCAGGACTTTCTGATAAGCAAAGTCAATGGGGAAAGCCAGATTCACTTCACAACCGTGATACTAACTTAACAACTGCAGTGATTCGCTTAACAACTGTGGCAAGAAAGGTCGTCAAAAGGGGCAAAATTCAACTAACGGCTGTCTCGTTCAACAACAGAAATTTTGGGGCTCAGTTGTGGTCATAAGTCGAGGACTGTCTGTCCTCCCAAAGTAGCAAATTCTTAGCTCCGGTGGAAATATCAGTTCTAGCTTTCGCCGAGTGCAGACTTGACCCTGGGAAAAACTGGTGCTCTCAAAGAATGAGACGTATTCTTGACTTGGGCTTATCTCTGCAGGGGGACGAGGAAACCTAGTATCAGATGATGGTTGGAACACCGTTCCCATCACCAAGGGCAACCGACCCATTGACCCCAGCAGGTTAACCAAGATCACTAAGGTGAGTTGCTGACTGGTTTTGGGTACTAGTAAAACTGGGGTTGGGAGGCAGTGTCTTCTTTTTCTGGATGATGGAAGATAAAATCGACAGGTCCTGATTTTTGATAGCCTTTAGTTAACATGCTCTAGTTTTTTTTTAATTTTTAAAGGGTCAAGGCTCAAAATTTGTTGTTTATTATGTTATAATAATCTTTATAAAGGTATCCAGCCTGTCTTTCAAATAAAACTACACAAATGTGTTAAGTTAAATTTGTTAAGTAAATAAGACCTTCATCTGAGAGGTCTATGGAGATTCTCAGTCATCCAGGTCATGGTTGTCCCAAAGATGCTTTTTCAAGAGGCAACTGGACTTTCTTGTTATTCTTTGAAGACGTTTCGCTTCTTATCCCAGAAGCTTCTTTAGCTCTGACTGGATGGTGAGGAATGGAAGGATTTATACTCCTTGCAGACAGCTGGTCATTTGCATTCTTTTAGGCAGTGGTTCTCAACCTTTTTAATGCCGCGACCCCCAACTGGTTGTAAGTCGAGGACTACTCAACCGGTCGTAAGTCGAGGACTACTCAACTAGTGCAGCACTGTTTGCAGAATGGGACTTTTGGCGGCTTAGCAGGGCAGAGACAGCCTGGACAATTCCTATTGGCTTTTGAAAGCCAATAGAATTAGACTCTATTCAAGAGAGTCTATTCTATTGGCTTTCAAAAGCCAATAAAATAAAAGGGAGTAGCACAGCTAAGGAAAAGGGGGGGAAAATGGTGGACTGCGTTGTTTGGCGACCCCTGTGAAATGGTCGTTCGACCCCAAATGGGGTCCCAACCCACAGGTTGAGAACCACTGTTTTAGGGAGTCGTTGAGGCCACTTGGAGGTTTATTCGTGTCCTCAGGGTCATCTGAGTAATGCAAATGGGTGTGGAACCACAGCTCCACACCCACTTGCACTATATACCTGGCCCTGAGGACACAGATAAATATCCAAGTAGCCTCAACGACTCACTAAAAGAATGCAAATGACCCGCTGTCTGCAAGGCATATAAATCCTTCCATTCCCCACCACCCAGTCAGAGCTGAAGAAGCTTCTTGGATGAGAAGGGAAAGGTCTTCAAAGAATTACAAAACAGTCCAGTTGCCTCTTGAAAAAGCATCTTTGGGACTTCACCTGGGATGAATGAGGGCACTGAGTAGTACTTTGAATGGCCATAAGTGTGTCTTTGCATTATATGTGACAGATTCTGTACTGCTTTAGATGTTTATTGAAGACGTTAGGCGTTTGCCTGCGAGATGGAGGCAGAACAATTAAGGTGGCAGAAAAGCATGCCTGCTAAATAGTAAGCCAACGAACGGTGTCTGTTTGTCTCTCTCCTTCCGACAGCCTAGTTCTATTGACACTAACAGTCAGCTCTTTGCACCTGGCGGGCGGCTGAGCTGGGGGAAAGGCAGCAGCGGCGGTTCGGGTGCCAAACCTGCTGAACCGGGTAAGGTGGCAAACCAGCATAAACGGGAGTGTGGCGAAAATGGGTGGTGATGCCCTGGAGTTCCGTACGCGTCCAACTTGCCATTTTCCTGCCTGCAGCTTCTGACGCCAACCGTCCGGCCACGAGTACTTTGAATCGTTTTTCAGCCTTACAACAGTCGGCTCCTGCAGAGAGCCAAGACGTTCGGCGTGTGGTGCAAAGGTGGGTCGTCTTCTCTGCGCGTCTTGGGGAAATGATATACGTATCGTTCGCATCTGTATGTATTTGTATGATATCACATGTATCGTAACTTCATTTTGACTGAGGAAGTCAGTTGGGTGAGTAACGAAACACCTCAGTTTAATGAACTTTGTTCCAGTTGCCATGATTTAATCTTTTAGGATACTTTTGGCCTGGAGGATTGAATCTTCATTGACATGTTGCGTTTAGAACAGAATAGACTAGCCGAGTTGGAAGGGACTTTGGAGGTCTTCTAGTCCAACTTCCTGCTTAGGCAGGAAACCCTACGCCATTTCAGACATTTCATTTTGGGGAGAAGCCCCTGCAGTCCTTATGGCAAGAGCTAGTACATTCCAACGGCTCCCTGACTTTCTGCCGAACCAAAAATTTTCATTTTGACTGAAGGCGTTACTTGCATGAGTAACGAAACCCCTCAGTTCAATCAACTTGGCTCCAGTTGCCGTGATTTCACCTTTTTAGATACTTGGGAAAGGATGATGTCTCTGTTCCAGGTTTGAGATTGCCTTGGAGTTTTGTTTAACTCCTGCCCCTTCCGTTCTGTAGCACTTAACGCAACGGGAGCATTCAATGATGGGTGAGCCTTAGGAGGCTACCCTTTTTCCCTCCGTGGGAGAGACTTCTGGATTCTTCTGCAAGATGCTGGAAAGGGTGGCCTTGCCTAAGGGAGGCACTTTTGGGTGCTGTATTTGCAGAAGTAGCAGCAGCCGCGACCGCTCCGAAAAAGGCAGTGAGCGGAGTGAGCGCTTGGAGCGGGCGGAGCGAGGCGACCGCGTGGAGCGGAGCGAGAGGGTAGAGCGGATGGAGAGGAACCGAACCGCGGTCACCAAGCGCAGCTTCAGCAAAGAAATGGAGGACCGGAGCCGGGAGCGTGAACGGGAGCGGCAAGGGGTCCTGGAAACGGTGCGCAAAGTGGCTAGCATGACAGAAGAACGAGACCGAAGCAGGGAACCTGGTGAGTGGGAGTATTGGGGTGGGTGTGCAAATAAGAAATGAAACAGGGACCAGATTTTCTGTCTCTTCCCTCCCCATCCCAATTCCAGGCCAGAAGGAACTCTGATTTTATTTTCTCTGTTCTTCCTTTTTTTTTTTTTCATTTCAAAATTTTATTAGTTGATCAAAATATAATGTAAGATACAAAATTACAAAAGGAAATAATAGGAAAACAAGGGAGGGAAGCAGGAAGAAGAAAAAAGTGTAGGGCACCGGCGGGGGGATGACTCCTTTTGGTGCAGTAGAATGAGGTAATAGCATAAAACCTCGGCTTTTTTTTAATTTCCTTTTTAATAAAAAGTTTTTATTTTCCATTTATTCAACATATACAAAATTCAGTTTACAAAATAAGATAAATTCATAATCATAACCATTGGGTGCCGCTTGCTCATTCCCCCCCAGGCTGCATCCACCCTCTCTAATACCTTTCCTATCTCCATCCTCTTTCTCTCCTCCCCTCACTACTCTCTTCCCCTCCCCTTCTCCACTTACCATCCTACTTCCTCCCTACACCTTCCTCCCCTCTCATCCCTCTCAAACACAGGAATACAGCATAGGGGAAGTGCCCAAGCAGCACCTCTCTCATAAATTACCATATCTATATTATCCTATTCTACCTATTTACCCACCCACTCACCCACCCACCCTTAACCCCCCCCTCACTTCCCAGAACAGAGTACAGGGTTATTAATAACAAAATTAACAATATGCAATAAAAAGAAAAAAGAAAAGGAAAGAAAAAAAATCATACTTAGTCCTCGGCTTTTTATTTTGATGTAATAATATATACCAGCCATTTCTATAACAACAAACCTATGTAATCAGCAAAAACCCAAATCAGCCTTTCATTTTTTTTCACCCCCTCAAGCACAAAATCCAAAAATGGATTCCAAATAGAAACAAAATTGTTTTCTTTAATGAAAGCAGTCAACTTAGCCATCTCGGCTAGCTCCATTAACTTTAGCAGCCATTCATCCGTTGTGGGAATCAAAGTGTCCTTCCATTTGTGTGCATACAGTAATCTTGCTTCCGTCAACATATTAAGCATCAAAGTCCCACATTTTCTTTCAAGTCATTATCCGTTAAACCCAAAAGAAAAGTCTCTGGTTTTATCTTTACACTCACCTCGAGAATAGCAATAGCACTTAGATTTAAATACCGCTTCCTAGCACTGTACAGCCTTCTCTAAGCGGTTTGCAGAGTCAGCATATTGACCCCCCCCCCAACATTCTGGATCCTCATTTTACTGACCTCAGAAGGACGGGAGGCTGAGTCAACCTCGAGTCGGTCGGGATCGAACTGCTAGCAGTGGGCAGAATTACCCTGCAATACTGCATTCTAACCACTGCGCCACTAGGACTCTACAGAATTCTACAGAATCTTCTGTATTGTGATGTGAACCCTTCTCCAATATTTCTTCCTCTTTCTCTGCCTTTCTCACATTCACTCTTCCCTGCAGCCAAGCGTGAGCCAGTGGCTCCCGAACTGCCCCCCAAACCTGCCTTATCCGAGGAGGAGCTGGAGAAGAAGGCCAAGGCCATCACTGAGGAATACCTACACATCAACGATATGAAGGTTTGTTTTGGGCTGTGGTAGGAGGAACATAAAGTAAAACCCGGAGTAGATTTTTGGCAATGGGAATGGCGATTCAGCAGCTGTGGCATTTGGGAGAATGTGAGGCCAGAGGTCCTTGGGATAAATGATGAGCTAGCACTTGCTAAGTCTGGCAGAGGAAATTCAGAGGTGTCTCAGAATGTGGCTTTTTAATTTTATTTTACTCTGCCTTAGGAAGACTTTGAATTTCAGGTTTTCCTAATCAGTGTAAACCACAAGTGAAACCACCTTTGGATTTGCTCCTTTGCTTCTGACTCAGGAGCAAGCAGCAAACCAACTAAGCAAGCGAAACCTCTCTGCCTGATTAAAAATATTGTACTTTTTTCCCCCCCTGGGGAGTGGGTAATGTGAAGAACAGGCCTATTAATTCAAAACGTTCCAGTGGATTTAACAGGAAAATAGGCCATTTGATTTAAGCAATGTGTTGACAGATGACCCTACTGTGGTAGCCAGTGCCTGGCTGAGGAATTCTGGGAGTTGAAGTCCACAAGTCATAAAAGGGCCAGGTTTGAAGACCCCTGGTGTAGGATCTCCTGCTTGTGCAGGAGGTTGGACTAGAATAGTGGTTCTCAACCTTTTTAATGCCGTGACCCCCAACCGGTCGTAAGTCGAGGACTACTCAACTGGTGCAGCACCGTTTGCAGAATGGGACTTTTGGCGGGCTCAGCAGGGCAGAGACAGCCTGGACAATTCCTATTGGCTTTTGAAAGCCAATAGGATAAGACTCTAAGGAAAAGGGGGAAAAAAATGGCGGACTGCGTTGTTTGGTTACCCCCATGAAATGGTCGTTCGACCCCAAATGGGGTCCCGACCCACAGGTTGAGAACCACTGGACTAGAAGACCTCCACAGTCCCTTCCAGCCCTTATTATTCTGTCCTGATCCTTGGTCTGCTGGTGTCATCTGCAGCAGGGTCTAAAGCCTCTCCCCCCACCCCTCACCCGCTTTCTCTTTCCAGGAAGCTGTGCAGTGTGTACAGGAACTGGGTTGTCCAACTCAGCTCTATATCTTTGTCCGGAATGGCATCGAGTCCACGTTAGAGCGAAGCACCATCGCTCGCGAGCACATGGGGCTGCTGCTGTATCACTTGGTCAAGGCAGACCACCTCCCCAAGGAGCAGTACTACAAGGGGTAATGGGGTCTGCCCCTCCCTCTCTCTCTCCCTCTCTCTCTCCCTCTCTCCCTTCCTCCCTCTCTCCCTCCCTCTCTCTCTCTCCCTCCCTCTCTCCCTCCCTCCCTCTCTCCCTCCCTCCCTCTCTCTCTCCCTCTCGCCAGGAAGAGCTGGGGAAGGGTTGCCAGAGGGTTGGGGAGCAGGACGACACGTGGGTAGGCGTCCTAGAGCTGGTAGGATCCTCACCCTTGGCTTTTGACTTCCAGGCTGCAAGAGATCCTGGAGATTGGGGAAGACATGGAGATCGATATACCCCATATATGGCTGTACTTGGCCGAGATTATCACTCCCATTTTGAGAGAAGGCGGGATTTCCATGGAGGAGCTCTTCAGGTAAGCTGAGCGACACCCCTGCATAGTTTGTCCCAGAGGGGCTTTTTCAAAAGGCAACTGGACTTCCTTGTTTTTTTTCCCCCTTGGAAACATTTCGCTTCTCACCCAAGAGACTTCTTCACCTCTAACTGAATGGTGGAGGAATTCTTATACCTATCTATCTATCTACCTACCTACCTACCTACCTACCTACCTACCTATATATATCTATATCTGTATCTCTATCTCTATCTATATCTATCTAATTACGTTAAAATTCGAATCCTGGGTAACGCCATGTAGTAAAAACAAATAAATACGAACACCAGGATAATATCAAACTAGGATTTGTTTAATAAAATGCTGAGCTTTCATCGGCCAGCACTGCCGACATCATCAGAACATAGAAACAAGTCAATGGGCGTTTCCTTTTATAACACCGGCCGGTTTTGCACGGTCCATCTGATGTCTCTGATTGTTTCATTCTTGAAAGGCACGTACTCGCTGTTCCTTTGATGGTTTTTAAAGCCGCAATTCCCTTATCCACTTTCTTTTCTCCAATCCCCTCCCTTGTGCACCCTCCCGCTGTCCGTCATTGCACCACCAATTTCTAGGGCTTCTGTTCCCTCCCCCTCTTTTTCCTTTTGCCCATCACTTTCTTCGTATGCATCCCATCATCCAGATTCGTTGTTCCTTCCTCACCCTCTTTTCCGGTTGTTTCCCTCACCTGCCCACGGCTGTCTGCTGTAATCTCAATGATTTTTAGGGTCGCTACTCCCCTCTCCTCCTTTTCCCCAACCGTTGATTTGTTTGTGTGTTTCCAGCCACCCCATTTTGTTACACGCTTTCGCTCATTTCCCTCTCCTCGTTTCTACCCCAAAGCACAACCGTTCTTTCCCTGGAGGGCTGTGGGCAGGATGTGTATCCAATAAAAGTCCTCTTGCTTTTTCGCTCCGCTGCTCCTGCGCGTGCGGGTCTGAATGTTTGTCCAGGAGGGCTCTGGCATGCCCGTTCCTGCCTCCTCTCTTCTATTGAAGGACGTTGTCCCTCTCGGGATGCCCCAAGGCATGTTGAGAGCCTTCTTCCCACCATTCACTCTGATCTTCCTTCGTCTGTGATCCTCACACTTGCATCACCAAACTCTCTGCACATCTTGGAGTGAAAAAGCAAGAGGACTTTATTGGATACACATCCTGCCAACAGCCCTCCAGGGAAAGAACGGTCTTTATTAGTTTTTAATAGGATTAGGAATAGGGTGGAATCGGGGTTGGGGTTAGGGTTAGGCTTTTTTAAAATAACATTCTTTTTTTATTATTATTATTATAATTTTTACAATTTTATAATAAAAAGCCCTTTCCCAATCCCTCCCAACCCTCCCCAAAACCCTCCCCCGTTCTTCCCAGAGCTAGATACAGAGTTAACTAAAACTTAATAGAAAAAGCTTATAAACTCAAATAAACCACAAACAAATATGATTATATTCAATGAACAAATTGTTAAATACATTAACTCCATTATATATAAAAAAAACAGAAAGAGAAAAAGAAGAAAGAAAATAAAAAATAATAATAAAAGGGAAAAAAAGAGAAAAACTAAACTATTCTACACTTCTAAATAATATCTTAAACTTTAAATATAAATTATCAAAAGCTAAATAATATTTTCTAATATCATACCTATATTGTATAAAATTTATCCATCTTTTCCACACCAAGAGATACTTCTCTTGCGATTGATAAAATAACATTCTTGATATTTAGCAAACAGCATGTTGCCTGGGTTCATGTATTTAAAAAAAACAACGAACGGTAATTACAATAGGTTAATTAATCGCTGGATAGTCTTCATCTTACTAGTATATATTACATACTAGTAAGTAATATCACATTCCTTTCTCTCTAACTCCTTTTTCTAGCCATTGATAAAAATTATCCCGTGTTCTAAAATACACTGGATCTTCTTTCTCTCTTTTTATCTTTTAAGGTCGATGTATCCATTTCTGCACACTCTCAAATTTTCTTAATTAATTCTTCTTCAGTTGGTAAATTTTCATTTTTCCAATGCTGGGCCAATACAATTCTTGCTGCCGTTAGTACACGTAAAATAAAATATATACAGTCTCTCTCATAACTCGCTCCTATTATTCCTAACAAAAAGGAAGCGAAACATTTCCAAAGAAAAAGAAACAACAGGGAAGTCCAGCTGACTTTTGGAAAAGCACCTCTGGGATAACCGTGACCTGGATGACTGGGAATCTCCATAGATGCGCCCGCGTTCTCTGCTGCTGTATCCTGTTCCTGTTGCCTGACCTCCTTCCCCACCCCCTCTGCTTTTTTTTCCAGGGAGATCGCCAAGCCCCTAGTCCCTATTGGCAAGGCCACAACTCTATTGGTGGAGATCCTGGGCCTGCTTTGCAAAGGAATGGTATGTTCTGCAAGCAGCGCATCTGCTTATGGGCCTCTGTGAAGGATTGAGAAGATTGACCATTCTGGGTTTGTTTAGCACCATCATGTGTCCCTGCCTTTGTTGGTTACCTTTGTTGGTTCTAGCACAGGGGTCCTCAAATGTGGCCACTTTAAGACTTGTGGACTTCAACTCCCAGAATTCCCCAGCCAGCATGGCTGGCTGGGGAATTCTGGAAGTCCACAAGTGGCCACATTTGAGGACCCCTGTCCTAGGAGAAGCCTGTTCAGATAAATCAGCCTCTATGAGGCCTTGTCTTTCACAGCTTTTGGTTCACTTGATCCAAAATGACATCTAACACAATCTTTCACTCTCCTTCCACCTCTGAGGAAGAGCTGGGAGCAGGTTGTTTGGTGGGAGTTGAGAGCAGGGATGATGGACAGGTCGTCCTTGACTTGGGATCAGCATTTTTTGTGGATCACCAAGGTGGTTGTTAAATGAATCGCAAAGTTGTGGAGCAAATTCAGCTTCTCCCATTGACTTGCTTGTTGAAAGATGGGTGGGAAGGTCACAGATGGCAATCACAGAATGCTGGGATGCTGCAACCATCGTGAATATGTGCCGGTTGCCAAGCACCTGGTCACGTGACTGGGGAGGCTGCACTGGTCATAAGAGGGAGGATTGCTATAAGTCACTTCCTTCAGTGCCATTATGGCGTTAAGGAGTCGCAAAACAAATGGTTCTACATCAAGAACTGCCTGTATTCTATCTGACCTTCTAGAATTAAGAGGACAAACCCACCCATGATACTTTTAGGCTTTAGATATACCGTGTTTCCCTGAAAATAAGACCAGGTCTATTTTTGGGGGGGGGCTCCAAAAGAGGCACCAGGTCTTATTTTCCGGGTAGGCCGTACCCACCTCCGGCACTGACAGCCCCACCTAGCAGGTCCACTTCTTCTGGGGCCGAAGTTGTGCAGCTGCATTCGGGCCTTCATTTTGCAGTCAGGCCTTTCCAGAAGGCCTAAGCAGCCGAGTATCGGGCTATGGATTCAATCCATAGCTTGGTGCTCGGCTTCTGAGATCTTGCAGAACCAAGGTACAGATTGAATCCATAGCTTGGTTCTTGGCCGCACAGGCCTTCCGGAAAGCCCCGTGACTGAGAAATGCAGGCCTGGGTACAGAAGAGGCCTCCGAAGAAGAAGTGGGCTGGTAAGGAGAGGTCTGGCTGCAAGGTAAGTGAGTGCAGGGCAGGTGAGGCAGCTCCACATACACCCCCACCCCAGCTTGATTTTTCGGTGTGCCTCGCCCCAGAACTAGGGCTTATTTTGGGGATAGGGCTTATATTTGGCCCATCCTCAAAAATCAAGCTAGGGCTTATTGTTGGTGTAGGCCAGGGGTAGGCAACTTTGGCTCTTTTATGACTCGTGGACTTCAACTCCCAGAATTCCTGAGCCAGCATGGCTCAGCTTGGAAACCTCTCCCTTTCCCCTCAGCATGGCTGGCTCAGGAATTCTGGGAGTTGAAGTCCACGAGTCATAAAAGAGCCAAGGTTGCTTACCCCTGGTGTAGGCCTTACTTTTCGGGAAAACGCGGTAGATGCTGTTTTGAGTCTATGCCCCTAACACACAACACGGCACCTTTCCGTGTAGGCTTCATGACAAAGCAAGAGGACAGCTGTCCTTTCAGTGAGGTTGTATGCAAAATGGTGCAACGATTGTGTCTCTTCCCTATAGAGCCACAAGAAGGCAGGAACATTATGGAGAGAAGGTGGACTGAGTTGGAAAGAGTTCCTGCCGGAGAACCAGGATATCAATAAGTTCATCACAGAGCAGGTAAGGAGGAAGTGCTGGGTAGTAAGATTGGTGATAAAGTATCCAAAATGACAGAAAATTAAGATTAAAACTGCTTTAAGCCTTCTGTTTCCTCATTGCTCACCTGATCTAGAGTGAAGTCCAGCAATATTATTCCCATAGGAAGCTTATGGGTCTCTGACAAGGAAGACACAAACGCTTTACTACTTTTGTGAAAAACAGCATTTTTTGGTCTAGTACACGGATCTTCAAACTTGGCCCTTTTATGACTTGTGGACTTCAACTCCCAGGGTGCCTCAGCCAGCGTGCCTGGCTGAGGAATTCTGGGACTTGAAGTCCACAAGTCATAAAGGGGCCAAATTTAAAGTCCCCTGGTCTAGTACTAGCAATAGGAATAAATAGCATTTAGACATACATACTGCTCCATAACGCTTTACAGCATCTCTTGGTGTAATGACTTATTGTTTTATCAATATATAGTATTAGCTAAAGTGTTGGATCAGGAGGTGGGGGAGAGAGAATCACATGAGAGGGAGGGAGGGAGAGGAGAGAGAGAATCACCATGATAATCACCATGGATGGTATATTTAATTATATTTATTATCGAACAAGAGGTAGAATATACTTCTAAGCCTAATGCAGCAATTGTGCGGTTCTGGGCACATTTTCACTTGCCCACCTGCCCTTCTCTTTGCAAGCTACCATGGCTTCTGGGTGTTATTTAGGATGCTGGCTGCCATCTTAGAAACCCCAGCCTGGGGCAGGTTGCTTGCAGGACTGCCTATCTGCAGTTGTTTCTACCAGCTCTGGCAGTGTGCATACCCTTGGGGCACCGTCGATTAAGCAGTGTCGTTCCCAGGAGGCTGTGCCATCTCTGCTGTAGCACATTCCCTCTGGAACAGCTGTCCCCTTTGAGTTTAAGACAGCTCTGCTCTGTTCGCTTTCTGGAAGACTTGGAAGAACGAGATTTTTCCCGCTTCTGAGCCAAGTGTTCGTGGCTCCACAATGTTTTTCTTTTAAATTACGCGCTACGAGCAATGTTTGCTTGGAGTTTGAGTTGCGTTGTATCCTATTGCATGGTGTTTGTTCTGTTTTCCTTTCCTTTGTTTTAGGTACAGCATTGTTAGCTGGCCAGAGTCTAGCTTGAGATGGCTGGCCTTATAAACTCTAGGGATGAGTGGAAAAATAAAAGTAAATGCCTTTGTACAAACCCCACAAAGGGTATTGAGATGCATTCGGTTTTCAATACTGGCGGTAATATCTAGCCTCATTTTCCCACGAGTTTATTTACACAGACCCTCTCCCCGTTGTAAAACTGTCGAGATTTGAGGGGGGAGGGAGCATTGCTTCATTGTGGAAGAACTTCTGTAGCTGAACTCTGCACATGGATCAGTTTTAAACTGCTCACTGTTTGGGTCCCATTTTTTGCAAGTGAATTTTCCTTTTCTCAAGACAAATGTGTAACTTCCTACATCTCTTGCCTGGCCTCTGCGCCTGGTTCACCATGGTTGACGCTGGCATTTATTTATCATTTGTTAAATTTATTCGCAACCTGTGGTCGTTGCCATGTGACATTGCATTGTAAGTAGAGTGACCAGGTTTTTTTTTTAGTGCAGTTGGCGTGGTTTTGTTTTAAATGTTCAATTCTTAGCTTCCATTAAGGAAGTTGACTCTTTTGGGGTGGTCTGTCTGGTCCAGGGGTGGGCAACCTTGGCTCTTTTATGACTCGTGGACTTCAATTCCCAGAATTCCTAAGCCAGCCATGCTGAGGGGAAAGGGAGAGGTTTCCAAGCTGAGCCATGCTGGCTCAGGAATTCTGGGAGTTGAAGTCCATGAGTCATGAAGGGGCCATAGTTCCCCCATGCTGGCTCAGGAATTCTGGGAGTTGAAGTCTACCCATCTCTGAGTGGTCAAGGTTGAAAAATACAGGCCTAGGCCAGGGGTAGGCAACCTTGGCTCTTTTATGACTAGTGGACTTCAACTCCCAGAATTCCTGAGCCGGCCATGCTGAGGGGAAAGGGAGAGGTTTCCAAGCTGAGCCATGCTGGCTCAGGAATTCTGGGAGTTGGTCCACGAGTCATGAAGTGGCCTAGGCCAGAGGTAGGCAATCTTGGCTCTTTTATGACTTGTGGACTTCAACTCCCAGAATTCCTGAGCCAGCCTGGCTCAGCTTGGAAACCTCTCCCTTTCCCCTCAGCATGGCTGGCTCAGGAATTCTGGGAGTTGAAGTCCACGAGTCATAAAAGAGCCAAGGTTGCCTACCTCTGGTTCTGGTCCGTTTGTATGTCTCTTTCAAGATTTATAAGACCACTCAACTCTAGACGATCAAGGTGCGGCCCTCATAACCATGCAAATCTCAGAAAAAGAAAAAAAACCTGACAGAAAACTAATAACATATAAGTAAAAGAAAATCTGAAATGTGGACTAGCAAGCCAGCACAGAACAAAATAAACTTAAACTGGCCCTATGAAAAGAGCCGGGTCTTAAGAACCTTCTTAACCTCAAGAAAGGTTGGGACTGTTGTATATTTGTGAGGAGGGAGGAAGATTGTTTCCAAGAGTAGGAATAACTACAGAAAAGTCCCACTTCTTAGATCCCATAAGATGAGAGGGCTTAAGTGTGCCTTGCCCGGGGCAGCCTGTGGGATGGGCAGATGTTTTTAGGAGAAAAATGATCTTCAACCCATTCCTGTATTTTGGCTAATGGATCCAATGCAGTTGCCTAATACTTATTTATTACATTTTTATGCCGTCCATCAGCCCCGATAAGATAACTCCGGGGAGCTGTCTTTGGGGCTCTTGCCCTCCTGTGGGCTGCAGTGGGTTTGTCATCCAGGGGTGCCTGTCACCTGGTTTCCTAATCCGATCTGCTCCCCTTTTGTTTCTGTTTCCAGAAAGTCGAATATACCATGGGCGACAGTTCGGATGCTCCTAGTCGGAAGGAGCTGACCTCTGAAGAACTCTGCAGACAAATAGAAAAGCTATTAAAAGAAAATGCCAATAACCAAAGAATATATGATTGGATTGAGGTGAGGAACCCTTTGAAGGACTCGTACAGGATCTTTCAGTAGGCTGTGTTGCTATTATTCTTCTCGTCTTCTCATCTTCCCTATTTCCTTCTCCTATGGCAGTGGTTCTCACCCTGTGGCAGCAAAGATGGTCTGTAAATGTTCTCAGGTCTAGAGAACCAAGAGGGCTGGACCCCAGAAAGCTGGGCAAAAAAACCTAAAATTTGACATATTTTCACTATCTTGATAGCTTTACCAGAGGCCTGAGAAACATCTTTGCTAAGCTCAGTGCTTTTTGGAAGCTCAAACCAAGTGGAATTTTTCCAACGTCAGGCCCTTTATATACCCTTGAGTCCTAATTTAGAAGCTATAATAAAGTGTGCATTGTGTATGTGCTTCTTAATCAGTGGATGTGGTCACATGTTAATTGGCCAGCTCTTGTCTGTACCAGTGATACTTCAATCGTGGCCACTTTAGGAAGAAGGGGGTGCCAAAATTAGCACAACTGTGCCACAGGCAAGATTTTTCTTCTAATGGTAAGGATAGTACCAGTCAGCTTAGTTGTAGTTTGGGAAGATTAACAATTGTTGATCATATGACTCTGGGACACCACAGCTGTCATAAATACCGTGTTTCCCCGAAAGTAAGGCCTACACCAGGGATAGGCAGCCTTGGCTCTTTTATGACTCGTGGACTTCAACTCCCAGAATTCCTGACCCAGCTGTGCTGAAGGGAAAGGGAGAGTTTCCAAGCTGAGCCAGGCTGGCTCAGGAATTCTGGGAGTTGAAGTCCACGAGTCATAAAAGAGCCAAGGTTGCCTACCCCTGACCTAGATCTTGGTAAGTTTAAGACTTGTGGACTTCAACTCCCAGAATTCCTGAGCCAGCATGGCTCAGCATGGAAACCTCTCCATTTCTCCTCAGCGTGGCTGGCTGAGGACTTCTGGGAGTTGAAGTCCACGAGTCATAAAAGAGCCCAGGTGGCCTACCCCTGAGATAGTCAAATAAATGTTCAGGCTGGATTTGGCATTCATTATTTTTCTGTGGCTTTGCCTGTACACGGTGTGCTTTTGTACCAGAGACAAACACCTTGTGTGTCTAATTCCACTTGGCCAAATAAAGTATTCAGTTCAATTCAATTCAATTCAAAAGGTTTCCAGAGTTTGCTCTAAGGCTGGCAAAATGGAATACAGGTCGTGCTCGACTTACGACCACAATCGAGCCCAACATTTGTATTGTGAAGTGTGAAATTTGTTAAGTGAATTTTGCTCCGTTTTACAACTTTTCCCCCTCACATTTCTTAACTGAATCGCTGCATTTGGCAAAGGACTAACCCGATTGTTAAGTGAATCTGGCTTCCCCATTGGCTTTGCCTGTCAGAAGGTTGCAAAAAGAGGATCACGTGATCCCGGGCCACGGCAACTGTCATAAACATGAGCCGGTTGCCAAGCGTCCAAATTTTGATGGGGGGAGTGCTGCAACCGTCGTCAGTGTGAAAATGGCCGTGTGACTTTTTTTCTAACTTCGAACGGTCACTAAATGGAACCGTTGAGGGCTACCTGTATTTTTGATCCACGAATTTTGAGATCTTTTTTTTTTCTCTCTTGGCAGGTAAACCTGAGTGAACAGCAGGTCTCCTCCAGTATGTTTATCAGGGCCCTGATGATGTCAGTGTGCCATTCCGCCGTCGTCTGTAAGCCTTTCCCCTTATCAAAGGGCAGACGGGGGGAGGGGGCTTTGGGGAGGCACCTATTATGGGAATCCCATGCAGCTAAATTGGGTGAAGTTGGTCTCAGCTGAGAAGAGCAGCCACCTGTCAATCAGTAGCATTGCCTAGTTTTCTGGACCCCCTCAGTATGGGTTGTGGTGTTGATAAGGCCCCCCGAGGGGGCACGACAGGGACCTGGAAGGCAAAGCTGTCATCCTGCAGAATTCCAGCTTTTAGGACCCTTCACCATTCGCCTGTCCAGCTGTCTAGAACCGGAGCTGCGGAGATTCTCAATCATCCAGGTCAGGGATCTTCAAACTCTTGGCCCTTTTATGACTTGTGGACTTCAACTCTCAGAATTCCTCAGCCAAGCATGCCTGGCTGAGGAATGCTGGGAATTGAAGTCCACAAGTCATAAAAGGGTCAGATTTGAAGACCCCTGATCCAGGTGATGCCTTGACTGATTGATATTCATCCAGGTGATGGTTGTCCCAAAGGTGTGCTTTCTCTCCCTCCCTCCCTCTCCGCGGGCGGGACTCCCAGGATCCTATTGGAAGCAGAGGGAGGGTCGTCCTTGGGGCCAGGCATAAAACTCTCCATTTGTTCAGCTGACCTCTTCCTTTACCTCCTCTGCTACAGTCGAGAATCCTTACCGGATGGAGAATCTTGTGATTAAGAGCCGAGCTAAGCTGCTGCAGAAATACTTGAGCGATGAAGATAAGGAGCTGCAGGCCCTTTATGCTTTACAAGCCCTAGTGGTGAAGCTGGACCAGCCAGCAAGTAAGTCTCCTCGTGGTTCCGGAAAAAGATCCTAAGCGGGACAGGGACGGAGGGGGAAGCAAGGCCATGAAGTCAGTGACATGAATTCCCCATCCAGAAATGTGGAATTCATCCTGAAAAGCAAACCTGAGCTTTACTCACTCAGCCTGCTTCTTTCTGTCTGGTGAGAATTGGACTTTGAATCTTAAAAGGACAGGTGTCTGTGGAGATTGCCAGTCCTCCAGGTCATGGTTGTCCCAAAAGCGCTTTTTTTTTTTCAAAAGTTCTGAACTTTTGAAGCATGGCTGGCTCAGGAATTCTGGGAGTTGAAGTCCATGACTCATAAAAGAGCCAAGGTTGCCTACCCCGCGCTATACTACAACTGTACAGGTATTTCGCATTTAACAGTCACAACGGAGCCCAAAATTTCTGTAGTTAAAGTGAGCTTTGACTCATTTTACGACCTTTCTACCGTTGTTAAGTGAATCACTGCAGCTGTTAAAGTTAGTAACAGGGTTGTTAAGGGGAATCTGGCTTCCTCATTGACTTTGCTTGTTTGAAGGTCACAAAAGGGGACCACGTGACAAAGACAACACACACACACACACACACACCCAGGTACGCTGCCACTGTCATCGGTGTGAGTCAGTTGCCAACCATTTTAAATTTTGATCCCTGCTTTTCGCTATTGCGAAAGTCGTAACGGTGAAAAATGGTCATCGGTCACTTTTTTTTCCAGTGCTGTTGTAACTTTGAACGATGACTTAATCGAACGGTTGTAAGTCAAGGATTACCTGTACTTTACCCAATCCAGTAGATCTCTGAAATGATCAGTTGCTTGGATGAAGAGGAAACAGAAGGAAAAAAAATCTCCTCCGACCCCCTTTATATTGGACTTTTCGAAACCGTCAAGCCCGTGGGCCTTTCAAAAATGCTGCGTTTCCACTTCCCCCCCCCCCCCTAATTCCTTCGACAAGCTGGTTAGAAAATCAGAACACCGAAGCAGAAGGCGTCGGAAGAGGGCTAAATTGCTTTAGATGCCTTAGGAACCAGCTGCGCTCGTCTTCCACTTTGCCGTCTATTGACGGAGCAGGATTTTGATATTTTTGGTACAGGACACGTGTGGCTGATTATAATGGAGGGGGAAATTACAGACCTACAGAAGCATCCTTTTGATCAGCGCGACAGAAAAGCGGTCCCAAATTATTAGGCCTTAAGGCTGAATTTTGAAAAACGCTCTGGCAGATGGTTTGCAAAAAAAAAAAAAAAGACAGGAAGATCACATATTTTTCCCTCCCCCCTCTCCCAGACTTCACTGCCTGATTATCATTGGGGGGGGGGTTAAATGCTGAATCTGCCCGTTTTCTTCCTGCTGTGTTTTGCAGGGGGAATTTTGATGAGGTTAAAGCAGGAGTCTTCAAACTTGACAAGTTTAAGACTTGTAGACTTCAACTCCCAGAATTCCTCAGCCAGCCCTCAGGGCTGGCTGAGGTATTCTGGGAGTTGAAGTCCACAAGTCTTAAAATTGCCAAGTCTTAAGACCCCTGAGGTAAAGTAATACAGGCAGGCCTTGGCCTAACGACCACAAGTGAGCCCGAAATTTCTGTTGCTAAGCGACACAGTTGAGTGCATTTTGCGCCATTTTCCGACTCTTCTTGCCACAGTTGTTAAGGGAATCACCGCACTTCTTACGTTAGTGACACGGTTGTTAAGTGAATCTGGCTCCCCCGTTGACTTTCCTTGCCAGAAGGTCCCAAAAGAGAATCACGTGACCCCGGGACGCTGCAACTGTCATAGATACGAGTCAGTTGCCCAGCGTCTGAATTGTGATCAGTTGGACATGTGATCAGTTGTAAGTGAGAAAACCGGTTGTGTCACTTTTTTCAGTGCCGTTGTAACGTTGAATGGTCACTAAATGAACTGTTGTAAAGCCGAGGACTACTGTATTTCTCTGGGAATGGGGTGCTGAATGAGAGGCGCTCACCGTGTCGACAGTCGCTGTTTTCCTGGCAGGGAACAAAACCCACAAAACACTACAAATTCCCATTGGGCCTCTGAAGATCAACCTTAGGTGTGCATTACCTGAGGGACAGGTATTTGAGGGACAGCCCTCAAAAGTTGCCACTGCATGACTAGTTCCTATTTCTGTTTTTCAAATGTTCACACCACCGCCGGCTGCCAAGTCCTTAAAGGGAGATCCAAACCAAAATTTAAAGCCTGCTTAGCAAAGATGTTTCTCAGGCCTCTGGTAAAGCTATCAAGATAGTGAAAATATGTCAAATTTTAGGGTTTTTTGCCCAGCTTTCTGGGGTCCAGCCCTCTTGGTTCTCTAGACCTGAGAAAATTTACAGACCATCTTTGCTGCCAGCCTTTCATAACTTGGCTCCTTCCTGGCTCTGTCGAGTCACATGATCCCCTTTTGCGACACTCTGATGGGCAACATCAACGGGGAAACTGAGATTAACCCGTGTTATTAATTTCACTCCTGCAGTGAATATGGGGCAAGCAAAGTCATAAAATGGAGCAAAACTCACTTAACAAATGTCTGATTGAACAATAGAAACTTTGGCCTCAGTTGTGGTTGTAGGTAGAGGACCACCTGTCTAAAGTTCTTGGATTACATTATAAAATGGGGGAAGACTCCTTGAACCACAGAAACATTGGGCTCGTCTGTCCCAGAGGTGCTTTTTCAGGAGGCATCTGGACTTTCTTGTTTGTTCTTTGAAGACGTTTCGCTTCTCATCCAAGAAGCTTCTTCAGCTCTGACAGGAAAGTGGGGAATGGAAACATTTACACTCCTTGCAGACAGCTGGTCATTTGCATTCTTTTAGAGAGTCGTTGAGGCCACCTGGAGGTTTATTTGTGTCCTCAGGGTCACCTGGGTGGTGCAAATGGGTGTGGGGCCTTAAGTTAAGCCGTAAGCCCAGCTCCACACCCATTTGCGCTACATAGCTGGCTCTGAGGGCACAGATAAGCATCCAGATAGCCTTAACGACTCTCTAAAAGAATGCAAATGACCAGCAGTCTGCCAGGAATACAGATCCTTCCATTCCCCACCACCCAGTCAGCTGAAGAAGCTTCTTGGGTGAGAAGCGAAACGTCTTCAAAGAAAATCCAGTTCTGAAAAAGAACCTTTGGGACAACCTTGGCCTGGATGACGGAGAACCTCCGTAGACGTCAGCCTCGGCTGTGGTTGTAAGTCGAGGGCGGCCTGCCTCAAGGCTCAGCAGGCCGGGAGGGAGGGGGATGCTCCCGGGCTGACCTGCTTTCTCTCCTTGCTTCCAGATCTCCTCCGAATGTTCTTTGATGCCCTGTACGACGAGGACGTGATAAAAGAGGATGCCTTCTACAAGTGGGAGTTGAGCAAGGACCCAGCCGAGCAGCAAGGAAAGGGTGTTGCCCTCAAGTCGGTCACAGCCTTTTACACTTGGTTGCGCGAAGCTGAGGACGAATCCGACAACAATTGAGCCCCACAAGAAGGGCGGGGTGGGGGGCAGACCGAGCCTGCCCTGCTGCCCTGGCCCCTCCTCGGAGTCTGGACTCCTTCGGGCGCTGGCACGGGGAAGGAGACACGCAGGACTGACCTTTGCCATCTTTTCTCCTGCCCGCCCTCATAAGACTGCTTTTTCTTTCTTTCCCCCTTTTTTTTTCCTTCTTTTTTTTTTTCCGGTTGGGATTTTTTTTTCCCCCTCTCTCCATTTTTGTTTTTCGTTTTCGTTTTAACAGCCTGTATTGGTTTGTGTCTTGACGATAATAAATTGATGCTCAAGGAGAGGTAGGTGTTGCTGTGGGCGCGCTCCGCTCAGAACCCAGGCTCGTTCCCCGGGGGAACCCGGATGATTTTCGTGAGCGGGGGGCCCCCCCTCAATTCTGCTGGTGCAAAAGCACCCCCCGAAACACATGTCTGATGGAAGGGGGTGGGTAGCCAACCCAATGCCTACGCTCCTGCCATCTCTCTTTCTCTCTCCTCTCTCTCACTCTCTCTCTCTCTCTCTCTCCTCTCCCTCCCCACTTTATTGCTGAAATATAGAGATTATATAAATATATATATAAAATATAAATATAGACTTATTAAATCTTTTGAGGTTGGAGAATAGAACTCTTTAACTGTCCACAAACGGCTCTTCAGATTTCTTTTCTTTTTTTTGCATCGCCGCCTGGAATTAACGTAAACCCACCCCCAAACCGGGATGGATGTTCCTTTGAAAAACAATTTTTTTTTGGCAAGCAAGGGAAACAGAAATCATTTCAAAGCTCCCCTTTGCTTAGGAGCTGCAGGCATCTCACCGGCCAAGAGGTGAGGGCAGCTCGGAGCTTCCCTGCCCCTCCACGAGCTCACCACGGCTGCCTTGGCCTACTAGGGTCAACCTCACCCCTTCGCCCGCTCGGGGTCCCCCTCGCCCACCTCCGAGCACACGGAAGGGGGGGGGGCGGGCGTGCGACCCGCTTCGTCTGCGCTTGGATAGTTAACGGAGCCGCGCTTGTAACGGAAAGGAAAACAAAAAGCAAAGCAAAAACGACAACGAAACCACAAACAGGAAAAAAAATATATATAAGGATACAATAACCGGTCACGTGAATTTGTAAATATGTTTTTTTTTCCTCCTTTTTCTTTTTTTTTTCTTTTTTTCATTTTTTTTTCTTCTTTTTCTTTACGGAGTATTTAATTGAAGATTCAAAAACAAAAAAAGAGCATCTTTTCACCGTAAACTGGAAATAATAATAATAATAAAAAAAGAGAACATTGCTAAACCAAGGTGACGTGTGGGTGATGTCGGATCCCTGTCCCGATCGCAGCAGGAATTTTGGGAGAGACGCCACGTCTTGGATCACCCCGACCTGCTGGGGGGGAAGGGGGGGGGAGCTTGGAGGTAGCCCTGCGTTTGAGCCGCTTGATGTGGGACGATTTGGCGTGTTGTTCTAAGCTACTTTTGAAGGAAAAAAAGGGGGGAGGGCAGGTTATCGGAGAAAGAATGGGCCTGAAGAAATTTACACAACGAAGAGGACGAGGCAACGTGGAGAAGGAGGGTTATTGTAAGTTCTACAAGTGCTTGTGCTTGCGTTGCGGCCGTGGCTAACTTTGATGGGACGTGAAAATAAAGTCTTTGGACAGGTTCCTTGCAAGCTTTGAAGCGTGCAGAGTTGTCTCCCAAATTGTGTTTGGAAAAAAAAAAACCTTTAAAATGCCACTGGCCGCGATCCCGTTGACGGTATTTTAATTGAAACCTACGTTTAGTTTGTGTCTTGGTTTACCTCTCTCTGCTTTCTAAGCCGTGGCTTTTCTAGCAGGCCACGTTCGAAGTCCTTAAACTGAAGGGCACTGAGTATTCCCGGTCTGAAAGGCAAATAGTAGTAGCACTTAGGCTTAACGTGGGTAGTCCTTGACTTACAACAGATTGGTTAGTGACCATTCAAAGTTACAACTGCGCTTAACGACCGTTTTTCACACTTAAATGATTGTTGTGGCATCCCCGTGGTCAGGTAATCGAAATTCAGACGCTTGGTAACCGACTTGTATTTATGATGGTCGTGGCGTCCCGGGGTCACGTGATCCCCTTTTGCAACCTGAACAGCAAAGTCAGTACGATTCACTTAACAACTGTGTTACTAACTTAACAAGTGCAGTGATTCACTTAACAGCTGTGGCAAGGTAAAATGGGGCAGAGCTTGCTCAGCAACAGAAATTTTGGGCTCAATTGACATAAGTCAAGGACTACCTGTACAGGTATTCCTCAAGTTACAACAATTCATTTAGTGACGATTCAAAGTTACAATGGCACTGAAAAAATGACTTATGACTTCTTCACACAACGGTTGCAGCATCTCCATGGGTCACGTGATTAAATTTCGAATGCTTGGCAACTGACTTTTATTTATGACGGTCGCCCTGTCCAGGGGTCCCGTGATCCCCTTTTGTGACCTTACAAGCAAAGTCGATGGGGGGAAGCCAGATCCACTTAACAACTGGGTTACTAACTCAACAGCTGCAGTGATTCATTTAACAACTGTGGCATGCAAGGTCGTAAAACGGGCAAATCCACTGAACAAATATTTCACCTAGCCACAGAAATGTTGGGCTCAAGTGTGGTCGTAAGTCGAGGAGTATCTGCATATCTCTATAGTGCTTTTACAACGGGGGCCTCCAACCCTGACAATTTTCAGACTTGTACACTGGAACTCCCAGAATTCCTCAAATTCCTGGGGAATTCTAGGAGTTCAAATCCACAAGTCTTAAAAGTCGTCTGGGTTGGAGGCCCCTGATTTACAGCCCGCTCCAAGCGGTTGACTGTCAATCTATTTGCCCTCCAACAATCTGGGTCTTCATTTTACTGACTTCGGAAGGATGGAAAGGCTGAGTCAATCTTGAGCCGGTCAGGATCGAACTTTAGACTGTGGGAAGAGTTGGCCTGCAAGTCTGCATTCTAACCACTGGGCCACCAGGACTCCGTTAATATAATAATACCTCCTTGGGGGTATCCTGCATTGAATGTGGAGAAGGCTTAAGTGCCGGTAAGTATAATTTTATGTCGCCGCCTGAAATGAGCTGTGGTGGCCCAGTGATCAGAATGCAACATGGCAGGCTAATTCTGCCGACTGCCACCAGTTTGATCCTGACCGATTCAAGGTTGACTTGGCTTTCTAAGGTAAGTAAAATGAGGACCGAGATTATTGGGGGCAAATATGCTGACTCTAAACCAGTGGTTCTCAACCTGTGGGTCGGGACCCAATTTGGGGTCGAACGACCATTTCACGGGGGTCGCCACACAACGCAGTCCGCCATTTTTTCCACTTTTCCTTAGCTGTGCTACTCCCTTTTATTTTATTGGCTTTTGAAAGCCAATAGAATAGACTCTTGAATAGAGTCTAATTCTATTGGCTTTCAAAAGCCAATAGGAATTGTCCAGACTGTCTCTGCCCTGCTGAGCCCGCCAAAAGTCCCATTCTGCAAATGGTGCTGCACCAATTGAGTAGTCGCGACCGGTTGAGTAGTCCTCGACTTACGACCGGTTGGCAGGTCGCGGCATTAAAAAGGTTGAGAACCACTGCTCTAAACGGCTTTACAGTCCTGTGAAGCAGTCTATAAGCCTAAGTGCTTCGTATTGTTCCTGCTCTGTGCCAGATCAAATCTGTGAAGTTTGCTCAAGTTGAGTGACCGATTATGACCTCACCCAAGCACACCTAACTAATACTCATCGGGTTGGTTTTTCAACATTGTAGATGAGAGTTAACAATGGGTCCTATTGAGGTGTAGATAAATTAGCCTAAACCGAATTTATTGCTATTGCCGTGAGCAATGTGTGCATCAATTAGGTTTAGCAAAAGAGTATCTTTATAGGATTGAGTATGTCGAGAATGCTAGATCCTCATCTCTCTCTATGTATGACCTGCTCTTCACAGGCCATTCTTCGATTTGATAGATCTTAACATGCAAGGTTATATTACACATGGCTGGGAGAGAACAGGATCTGTAGTGCATCAATTACACACCTGTATCTAGGGCAGTGTTTCTGCACCTTGGCTGCTTGAAAATGTGTGGATTTCCAACTCCCAGAATTTTACATCTTCAAGCCGCCGAAGCTGAGCAACATTGACCAGGGACCTTCCAACTTGGCCCTTTTAGGACTTGTGGACTTCAACTCCCAGAATTCCTCAGCCAGCCAAGCAAAGTGGTTAAGTGAGTTCTGCGTTATTTTACTGACCTTTTTGCCACTGTGGTTCAACAAATCATTACAGCTGTTAAATGAATCGTGTGGGTCATTAAGTGAATCTGGCTCCTCTCCCCTTCCCATGACTGTTTGTCAGAAGTCAACTGGGAAGGTCACAAATGGCGATCACCGTTGTAAATACATGCTAGTTACCAAGCATCTAAAGTTTGTTCGTGTGGCGGAATACTGCCAGGGTCGTAAGTGTGAGGACTGGTTGAAGGTCCTTTTTTTCAGTGTCACTGTAACTTCAAACAGTCACTAAACAAACGCAAGTACAAAGTTTAAGGCAGGGGGTCCCCAGCCTTGGCAACGTTAAGACCTGTGGACTTCAACTCCCAACCATGCTGGCTGGGGAATTCTGGGAGTTGAAGTCCACAGGTCTTAACGTTGCCAAGGTTGGGGACCCCTAGTTTAGGGTGCAGATCACTTAAGGAATCTCTATGAAAGATTCTCAAAACTTTGCTTTAATAATAATAATAAGAGTTGGAAGGGACCTTGGAGGTCATCTAGTCCAACCCCCTGCTCAGGCAGGGAACCCTATATCATTTCAGACAAATGATTATCCAATCTCTTCTTAAAAACTTCCAGGAAGTTTGAGAAAGGCCAACAGTTCATTTGGTAACAGTAATAAAATTGTGGGTAGAAGTAGCTGTTCACTCTGTCTGTTCACACCTTTTCTGGTTTTACCTAATTTAATCTTGGAATGATGCAAAATGATAAGACATTTTGGGGTGGGCTAGGCTGGTGATATTTGTGGGAAAGGTAAGTTCTCTTTAAGAAGGGAGTATGACAAAAATTTGCTATGTATTGCAATGTCTTTATAAAAACTATGCTCTATCTGCCATTGGCAAGTCGGCTAACCAACTAAAACAAAAGTGATACTGAGAAAAGAGAATGGCACTAAAATTAGCATGGGACTGGGGTGAATTTCCCGTGAAGACTTTTGAGAGTTTTTCTATTTAAAAGAACCCCAAAAGGGGATATAATGGGGAGTTTTATATTCTGTATTGGATCATAAGAACGTCCTTTGCGTTCACACAACATGGAGACAAGCAAAGATAAAAGATGGAGGTTAGAATAACCATTGAACATGAGAATGCGGCTATTAGGTCTTCTACTGACCTGGTTGAAATCTAGCTTGTTTTGATCATTTTCTCCTGGATTGTTCCAGAAAGCTGATGGGGGGCATCAACGAATGAGGTTTGCGCCAAAAAAGAAAGCTAGTTTAAATGTTACTGTTGGGCAAAGTTGTGACGAGCCCAACTATAACAAGAAAACGTCCATCCATCTGCTTCATAATACATGAAGCCATTCAACTAAAAGGGTTACATTGTGCTAAACTGGAAATTAAAGAAGGTATAATCCAGGCTAAAAAGTGTATTAATCAGAAAAAATCCAGCCTCTCTTTGCCCCATTATCAATATAGTTATCCTGAAGGATTCTAAATAATTCAGCCTAAAATGTGTCACACGTGAGTTTCCAAAATCAGTTTTTGGGTTCAGACGAAGAGGCCAAGAAAGCAGAGAAAACTGACTATGGAAAGTCAAAAAAAAAATAAATAAATAATAGAATAGCTTCTCCATCTTATAAAAGAGGTTACTTGTTAGAAAATTTGTTAGGTAACATCATTTTTAATTTTTTTTTCTCTGCTAGTCTTTTACAAGCCACCTGTATCTCAGTACAGATATATTTTATTTTTCTTGAATTGTGACTACAGCTGAGCCCAAGATTTTGGTTGCTAAGCAAGGTGGCTGTTGTGCCCCATTTTATGACCTTTTATGACCATAGGTAAATGAATCATGTCAGTTGTTAAGTGAATCATGTGGTCGTTAAAGCGAACCTGGCTTTCCCCATTGACTTTGCTTGTTGGTAGATTGCTTAATTGTCACAAATACGTGCCGGTTGGCTAGTGCCTAAATTTTGATCACATGACCAACAGGATGCTGCAATGGCCGGAAGTGTGGAAACTGGTCATAGAGTCACTTTTTTCAGTGACGTTGTGTAACTGAACAGTCACTAAACAAATTGTAAGTTGAAAGTTGAGGACCACCTGTAGGTAGGCACGATCTCTTGAAACGTGCTATTGTCACTCCAATGTTTCATTGGTCATGGACCAAAATGGAAGGGTGAACATCTCAAACTTCTCCCAGAAGACAGTGCTAGGCTGCATTAACAGAGGGATAGAATCAAGATCACGTGAAGTATTAATACCACTTTACAATGCCTTAGTAAGGCCACACTTGGAATACTGCATCCAGTTTTGGTCACCACAATGTAAAAATGTTGAGACTAGAAAGAGTACAGAGAAGAGCAACAAAGATGATTAGGGGACTGGAGGCTAAAGCATATAACGAACAGCTGCTGGAATTGGGAAGAGAAGGACAAGGGGGAACAGGATAGCAGCGTTCCAATATCTCA